TCAACATATTGCAGTTATGTATCAATAAATGTAACTCCCAACAACAGTTGCTTTTTAAGATTTCTTATTGTGGTTTACATGAGAGTAAGTTTTAGAGCATTTGCTAATTTCATGGTTCCAAAAGTATAATTTGTTCAGTGATTATCTTGTTATTTATTGTAAAGTAGTACTTGGCCAAGTTTTCAAGTACTCTGCGAGTCACAAGAAAAAGAAAAGGTTAAGAGAAACTGCCTGAATGAGACTGAGTCTTCCAAATTTATGGTGACCTGCTCGAGTCACCTGAGAAGAGACATAACATGTCAGGGCTGTAATAAAACTATCTGTCACAGTTGAGTCTTCGTGATCTAAGGTCTGTCACAACTGTTTTAAGGTCACCCATAGGAGGCTTTGTGTGATCAGTGATGCTTGTTGGGTTTCCTTCAGTTTACAAAATTTATATAGATTATTTGTCATCTGATTATGCTAAAATTGACTATATAAATTTGGACTTTAATTATAGTAAAATTGAGCTGTAATCTTGGGCAACAAAACACAAGGTTAAATCTTTGCAGTCTTGTTAGACGAGTTGGAATGTGATAAAGGAACTTAATAACGTTCACAAGTTGCTACTAGAATTTTGAAGGTTCAGCATATAAAACAAGATCTCAGATTATCTGCTAGAACATGTTGGTTGCCCAGAACCCAGAAGAAGAGAACTCGGATTTTTGCTCGGAGAAAAGTAGTGTCAAAAGAATACAGCATAGAGAAGGCACTAGTCTACTTGAGTTTCATTCATCTAACCCATTGTAACATAGACTTGGTAGAACTAGGTCCTAACTGAAACAAACTCTGTTGTATGGAAAGGTCACTGAACAAAGTTTTTGTGTGTGTGGGTTTCAGGCTAATTTGATTTGACTATTATGTAACTATCTTTAATTGGTTATATGATTCTTCCATGAAGACAAGGGTGATGGCAGTGACATGGAAACTACCATGTCAGATGAAGATTTCCAAATACAAGAAGAGATTTGTAAATCACGTCTGGCAAGCATCAAACGTGTAAGCTCTTGTCCCCAGTATGTGATTGTGTAAGCCATTCTGCAATATGATAGTCCTAAGCCCTGATTTTTTTTGTATGTTACAGCATTCTTTGATGATCTTTTGTTTATCTTCTTATATTATTTAAGGAGGAAGAAACTTATCTGAAAGAGAAGGATCGTTATGAGCTGGAAAAGGCACGGCTCATATGTGAAATGAAGCGGATACGAGATGAGGATGATTCACGCTTTAACAATTTCCCAATTGTTAACAAACGATATGCTTTCCTCAACCTTCTTGGGAAAGGAGGGTTTAGCGAGGTCTACAAGGTATTTATTTTATACAAAATTATAGTTTCATAATGCATGGTAAATTGACCATGATATTAAGTGGGCCCACTACTTTTTAATTTGCCTTCATTGGCATTTGTGAGTGGAAACTCTTTTGCAGTGATTTGAAGTGCAAACTTTGGAGCAGGCATTTGATCTGGTGGAGCATAGATATGTTGCATGTAAGGTTCATAGTTTGAATCATCAGTGGAGAGGAGAGAGGAGGCAAAGCTACATATGCCACGTAGTTCGTGAATACAACATACATAATACTTTGGTGCATCCTCATATTGTGCGGCTATGGGATGTCTTTGAGATTGACCACGACAGTTTCTGCACTGTCTTAGAATATTGCAGTGGTATATGATTCTACTTTAAACATTTGTTATCTAATTACCATGTTTCATATACAAGCCAATCTCAAATAATTAGAACTTATGATTTGTTGTTGATGTAGTACCCTGTTTTATATAGAACATAAAAATCACATATTATTTATGAACAATTAAAGCAGCATATGTAATTGAACAACCACATAGAAGGTATAATTTTACTGGAAACATGTGTATTGACACAATGCCCCCCTTATAATACATGATGTCAACCATCTAAGTTCTTTGATATGGTGATGTATGTTGTGTCTCTGATGGCATTGGCTGGCACGATTGGCATTTGTGCCTCTACATTCTAACCTCATTCTAGTTAATTGTCAAGGAAAACTCGTAGCTACTATATGCTTATCTTTTTTTAAAAGTATCTACTGTAACCAAAATTTTATTTTCAGCTCCAAGCATGAGTTCTATATCTGTTCAAAGTTCAAACCATGTTGATTATATTTTATTATCTTTGGTTGCTGTTTAGCTTTATGTAGTGGCTTTACAAGTTTCATATTATTTTTTAAGTGGTCGATAAGAAATTTTGCATACCTAAACAGCAATACAGTCTCATGGAACTGCATTTTTTTGTTTTCTTTTGTTTATTCAGGGAAAGATCTGGATGCTGTCCTTAAGAGAACACCAACACTTCCTGAGAGGGAAGCTAGAGTTATAATCGTTCAAATATTTCATGGGCTTATCTACTTGAATAAAGGGCCTCTAAGAATAATCCATTATGACTTGAAGCCTGGTAATGTTCTCTTTGATGAGGTTGGTGTAGCAAAAGTCACTGATTTTGGCCTAAGCAAAATAGTGGAAGATGATGCTGGATCTCAGGGTATGGAACTTACTTCCCAAGGAGCTGGAACATACTGGTGAGTGGGTGTCTTTTTTTGTTCTAAATTGCAATCATCAATGTCTCTTTTTAATCTTAATGCTTGGTCTGCATACATTTTTTATGTCCATCAAGTTGACGTTCCGACTCTCTTCAATTTCAATGGACATGTTCTTACATTGTATGGTACATTGTGCATCATTTGTTGGATTCCTTTGCTTACTTTTCTTGTTAGTTGCATTTTGCAAGCCCTTGTTGGGAGTTCTTTTCCACATGCTTACTGCCAATGCTGTTTAAGAAAATGAAGTTATTTCTGATATCTCTTCCTACCATATTTTCTGAAAATTAATATTGATGATTTTGAAATTACTGGAAATTTTCAATTCTTACTTTGGATAATCTTAGTTCCGTCTTCTATCATCTGCCATCACATTGTAATAAGGATGCCTTGTCTTCTAGCTTTTGCTGTTGGAATGGCTTATCTATTTTGTTTCTTTTGTTATTTTTGTTATTTCGCCTCTTCCTCTTTTTCTAGTGCCACTTTGACTTTTCTATCTCCCGTCTTATTCCTAAAAGATAAAACCTACTCTAGGCATGTCGAAAAATCGAATGTTTCCATATGAGTTTGATAGTAACCTTTTGTTTGAACTGTTTTGCAGAAGAACTCAGTGTATAACTTAGCATGCTTAAATCCTCTTAATCATATTATGGCATGATTGCAGGTACTTGCCTCCAGAATGCTTCGAGATTAGCAAAACACCACTAATATCATCAAAGGTTAGTAAACGTGAGGATAACATACTGGTACATTTGTGATCATATAAAAAAAAAAAATCTTATCATGAACTAAAAAAAATTCTAATAAAAGATTCTTTAGAATCAAATAATTTCTGTGCCGGTACTCTGCTGATGTGTTGCATGTTAGGAATTGCAAACTGCAATTAGTTTTCTTCATGATTTAAAAAAAATAATTTATAGAAACATTTTATACATTTTTTGTTATTTACACAGGTTGATGTTTGGTCAGCTGGTGTAATCTTTTACCAAATGCTTTATGGTAGACGGCCCTTCGGACATGAGCAGACCCAGGAGAAAATTCTTCGTGAAGACACCATAATCAATGCACGAAAAGTTGAATTTCCTACCAAGCCATCTGTTTCAAGTGAAGCAAAGGTAAGGTTTTGTTTTCTGTTTCAAATAATTTCCAACCCACAGAAATATTTAACACAACTGTCAGTTGGATTTACACATACTATTGCGGCTTCTTACATCTTTAGGAACTGATTCGCCGGTGCCTGACATATAATCAAGCAGCAAGACCTGATGTTCTAACCATTGCTCAGGATCCTTACCTATCCTATTCCAAGAGATAGAAATATGTATATTTGCTTGTCAGAGAGATGATTTTGTATATATTATTGTAAAGCTATCTTCCCATCTTTGCTTCTCTGTTGTGTAAATCTTGTGAAAACCTTTTTTGATTCAACCTCATGAATCACATTTTTCAATAGAGAGACTAATTGTTGGTGCAATTTGTGGGATTGAAAATGAAAAAAAACAAATATCAATTCTTATCATAAAAAAGAATTAATATATTTTAATTGGAAATTACTATTCTGCCATTAAAAGGAGATTGCATCGAGAATAACAATTTGTGGGAAGGTCGTCTACCAAAAGGCCGTCTACCGTAAAGCATTTGGTAAAAGATTACACCAGCCTATGTAAATAACAAAAAGATATCTAAGATGCTTCTATAAATTAATTTTCTAAATCATGAACAAAATAACTGAAGTTTGGGATTCCTAACATGCAACACACCACAGAATAACATTAGTATTCTTAAAAACTCGTAATAATACATGTAAGAGACTCAAATATATGTTATTGTGTTTTTTGGCACTGATAAATATGTTTAGTTACATCGATTGAAGTTAATATATGATCGTGATGAAGGCGCGAGATTTCACGTAAACTTGCTCCAACTAAATCGGCGAACTTTTCTGTAACGGGCAATCGAACGGCCAGGAGTGTCGGCGAAGGCTTTGGACTCCGCGACTCCTCCGCCGTCCGATCAGATACATGAAATCACTGACCAGATGAATGCACGATATTTCAAGTAAGCTTGCACCAACCAAATCGGCAAACTTTTCTGTAACAGGCAATCGAACGGCCAGGAATGTCGGCGAAGGACCAGCGCTGGTAGCACTCCCCCGCTCGAACAACTGTGGCGTGACGCGATCATCCTCCGAAATAAGAGTGGGCCCCATTTAAGCGTCCGAAGCATGGGTATGCCTGTGGGTGGATGTTCAAGATAAACCTTAAAATGGCATCCACGTAGAGAACGTGTGCCACGTCACCACGCGAGCGGGCCCACGATACGGAGTTAAAAGATGGTAATGCTCACATCGTCTTCACCGTAACTTATTTATAGAACTGTTCCTTTGTGGTATCGTTTCCCTTCTTTGCTGTCCGCAGAGATTATTTCTCTGTTCATAGGACCTCCCGGCTTTGTCCTTGACCGAGTTGGGAGGTGGTCTGGCAACAGAATCACCGAAGTTTCCTTTTTGATTTCCCTCATTGGAGTTGATTGAATCCTGAGAGGTAGTTCTTGGAGAAAGAAGGATGGGTGCGTGCCGGAACTTCGCGTTTCTACTCCTTCTCGGCCTCTCTTGTTCGGTGGCTGATGGCCTAGGGGTGAACTGGGGGACAATTGCGACTCATCGGCTGCCGCCGAAAACCGTCGTGCAGCTCTTGCAAGACAACGGGATCAAGAAAGCGAAGATTTTTGACACGGATGAGACCTCCATGAAGGCATTGGCCGGGACAGGGATCGAGGTGATGATCGCCATCCCCAACGATATGCTTGCCATGATGAACGATTACGACGCCGCGAAGGAGTGGGTGAAGAAGAACGTCACCCGGTATAACTTCGAGAAAGGAGTAAACATCAAGTAGGCTTTTCATCCTTTTGTCATCTCGTTCTTGATCTGTTCTTTCGGTCCATCCTCTTCCTCCCAATGCTTTGATCGGTCGCCGTATTCTGTGCCAGATACGTAGCAGTTGGGAACGAACCCTTCCTGAAATCATACAACGATTCCTTCACGAACATCACCTTCCCTGCGCTGAAGAACATTCAGAACGCGCTCAACGAAGCAGGAGTCGGCGACACCATCAAGGCCACCATCCCCCTCAACGCCGACGTGTACGACTCACCCCGAAGCAATCCAGTACCGTCCGCCGGCAAATTCAGACCAGACATAGCCGATCTAATGGCGCAGATCGTCGAGTTCTTCAGCCAGAACGGTGCTCCCTTTATCGTCAACATATACCCCTTCCTGAGTCTCTACGGAAACAGCGACTTCCCCATCGACTACGCCTTCTTCGACGGCACCAGCAACCCAGTTCTCGACGAAGGAGTCGAGTACACCAACGTGTTCGACGCCAACTTCGACACCTTGGTCTCGGCTCTGAAGAAGGTTGGCTTCGGCGATTTGCCCATCGTTGTGGGGGAAGTTGGGTGGCCAACTGACGGCGACGTGAACGCCAACGTGACCATGGCCGAGCGGTTCTACGCAGGTCTCCTGAAGCGTCTTGCAGCGGGGACGCCCCTCCGGCCCAACTCCACCATTGAGGTCTACTTGTTCGGCCTCATGGACGAGGACGCCAAGAGCGTCGCTCCGGGGAACTTCGAGCGGCACTGGGGACTCTTCACCTACGACGGACAGCCAAAATTCCCCGTGGATCTCTCCGGCCAGGGACAGAATCAGCTGCTCGTCGGAGCGAAGGACGTGGAGTATCTGCCTCGGAAGTGGTGTGCGGTGAATCCCAGCGCCACCGACCTCAGCAAACTCGCCGACAACGTGAAGTACGCCTGCGCGCACGCCGACTGCACTTCGCTGGGCTATGGCTGCTCGTGCAATGGCTTGGACGCCCGCGCGAACGCTTCCTATGCGTTCAACGTGTACTTCCAGACGCAGAACCACAAGGACGAGAGCTGTGACTTCCAAGGACTGGCGGCGGTGACGACGCAGAACATGTCGAACGGCACCTGCAACTTCACGATTCAGATCGTTCCCTCTGCTTCTTCCTTCCTTCGACCGCAGCTCAGCGTGCTCTTGTCAGCGATCGCCGGGCTTCTGAGTTGGATCTGCTTCTAGATCGAAGCTGTAGTCTCTACGCCATTGTGTTATACATTGATACAGGATTCATGGAGCTGTCATTTAAGATTGCCTCGGGCATGCAATCTTCTTCTTCCTGACATGTCTTAGGTTGCTAGTTTCGTGCATCTCATGGGCAAAATACGCCCTTCTGCTTCGAAGCATCATCTTCCACGAAGCTTAGTTTTATTGGGATAAGCATGCTGGTGGAATCAAACTCGAAAGATGCTGCAGAAAGCGAGGAATGATCGAGTTTCTTTCAGAGAAACTATTATGTGATAGAATTTTGTCCATTTCGTAATCATTATTATGTAATATTTTAGATGATCTATGAATCGTTCCGACAATATAAAGGATATGTGATGGAATTTTTACCCCTTTCAATATGTATTACTTTGGATTGTTCTATAGCTTCGTTGATATTAGTGTGAATCTTAACTAAATCGCATAGTATTTCTGATGGGATATTATCACTACAGTAAAATATATTTTTACGTGCAGTTCATATATATATATATATATATATATATATAATGGCATAATAACAATTTTACAAAAAAAGATTCCTGGAATCTACATTAATAACACTTAGATAACTTGTAATTTGATGATATCATTTTCGGGTAGCACAATAGAGAAGTTGACCGTGTTTGACATAGGGCTCATTGACCGATTCAGGTTGCGGTCGGTTCGGTTCGGTTCGGGTCGGTTCGATGGGGTTCGACCATCGAAAGCGTTCGAGATTCTTTTGTTATCAGGTGTGCAGCTCACGTGACGGTCATACTATTTGATTCCCTCGGCCACATAGATCGAGCAGCAGCCGGAAGCAAAAGAGTGCCGCTTCGGGGTTTATGCTAGGGTTTGCGATTTAGATCGCGTCGCATCGTTCAAGGGTTTCGAATCTCCTCCGACCTCGCTTCGATCTCCACGGTGTCCTTCTCCATTTCGCGGCGCGTCTAGAACAAGAGCGGTATGGCGTTCGGGCTTCCCGGGTACGGGATCCAGGCGATGCTCAAGGAAGGGCACAAGCATCTGTCCGGGCTCGACGAGGCCGTCCTCAAGAACATCGACGCCTGCAAGCAGCTGTCCGTCATCACCCGCACGTCCCTCGGCCCCAATGGTGTGCTTTTCTCGAACATCGATCTGATTCGGGTTTTGACTTACTTTCCGTTGAATCTGTTGGGTTGATTACTAGACGCCAGATCTTATATAGAGTGATGCGATTGAGGTAATCATAGGCAGAAATATAAGTAGATGTAAGAATAGTTGTTGAGAAAAATAAGAAAAAAACAAGACGGGCAAACATATTAGAGATTCATGTTTCCTTTTGATGATTTAGTGCATATAGGACCTGTTATGTTGCTGGGTAATAATGGAAGTTGCGTGGGATCTATTAAGTAGATCGAAGAATGTTTTATGTGTGATTAATTCCCAAAACAAGTAGTTAGCAAATGGAATCTCGTTCCTTGTTTAACTTATCTTAACCACATGTGTATTTAATTTACAGACAACTATTATATGTGCCTGTTAGGTATGGCAGAGAATTAACATGATGAGTGCCTGATGGTGTCTACTTTCTGGACTTTTTTCCTTTAATGTTGCTTGGTGCAGGCTTGCTTAGTAAGCAGTAGATGTTATGCATTGCTTTGAATTTTTTCAACCAAAAACCAAGGCTTATCCTTGTCAATCTTGTCTTAATCATTTCCTATGTATTAGGATTTAGATTCACATGCTCAGTTGTCAAATTTCTTTTGTTGCTTTCAGGCATGAACAAGATGGTCATTAACCATCTGGACAAGCTTTTTGTGACAAATGATGCTGCTACAATTGTCAACGAGCTTGAGGTTCAACATCCTGCTGCAAAGATTTTGGTGCTGGCAGGCAAGGCTCAACAGGAAGAAATTGGTGATGGGGCTAATCTTACCATATCATTTGCTGGTGAACTTCTGCAAAATGCAGAAGAGCTAATCAGGATGGGCCTACATCCGAGTGAAATCATCAGTGGTTACACTAAAGCTATTAACAAGGTCCTCTCTAGGGTTATCAATGATTTATTTGCTGTTTATTTATCTTATCCAATTGTTTCTAAGTGATGTTTCCAATTTTTATGTTTTTCAGACAATTGAAATTCTAGATGAGCTGTTGGAGAAGGGGTCTGAAACAATGGATGTTAGAAGCAAAGAAGAAGTTGTTTCCCGGATGAAAGCTGCAGTTGCTAGCAAGCAGTATGGGCAAGAAGATCTTTTGTGCCCTATTATTGCTGATGTGAGTATCTCAGCTTGTTGCTGATTCTGCTATTTTATTGGTATTATCATCTGTAACATGTATGGTTGCTATCACATGCCAGGCATGCATCCAAGTCTGCCCGAAGAACCCGGCAAACTTCAATGTAGATAATGTTCGAGTTGCAAAGCTACTTGGAGGTGGTTTGCACAACTCTACTGTTATTCGTGGTATGGTCGTGAAGAATGATGCTGTTGGGACTATAAAACGTGTGGAAAAGGCCAGGGTACTATATTCTTATTTCTTTCTCTCACAATTATAGCTCATTTGTTTACCTTGTTCTCTTAGATGCCTAATGGCACACTGTTAGCATCATCTATTTATTTGTACTGTGTTGGCTCAATATTTTGCATGAAAAATACAATTCAGGTAATTTTGACTTCGTAACTATAGTCTGAACCAAAATAAACTATGTCATATTTGTGATGTTGAACACCTTAATTCATGACAGAAATTTAGTAACATAAAGAAATTATATATTTGATTATAATAGTGAAAGTTGAGGAGCTTGTTCTCTTTGTTACCATCTCCTTAAAAAAGCACTATTTTAATCAATACTGTTATAATGTAAAATGGCTTGGCAATTTTTCCTTGATTTTGAGTTGGTTCTGATTATTCTTTCCCTTGGTAGATTGCGGTCTTTGCTGGTGGAGTTGATACATCTGCAACAGAAACTAAAGGAACTGTGTTAATTCAAAGCGCAGAACAGGTACTATATTCATCTGCATGTTCTAACAGACTCCTTCTTGATATTTTGTATATACACCTGATAATTGCAAAAATCCAATTACTATTTGCTAATTATATTCTCCAACTTCAATTTGGTCAAGAGAGAATGAGCTGGTGTTGGAGGTTATAGATTGGCAATTTGGCATTGTGCTACTGGTGGCTATCTTTTCATTAAGTTGTATTGTTGTTTAACGTCATTAATGTAATTTGATTAGCTGATATGGTAATATTTCTACCTTGCCATATAAGCTATAGGTATATCATGAGGCTGAGTTGTGAAATTATGCTATTTATTTCTAGTTAGTGAAGACATACAACTTTTGTTGTCACTTATTCTGTAACTTGAATCAGAACCGACTTACAAACATAAATAGCTTCTTGTCGTAACTTATTATCGTTTTCTGTTATGTTTCTTCTTTTTAATTGCATAACTTGGTCCTCCATTATATGAAAATATAGTGCATTTTAGTAGAATATAGATGTCATTGGTAGGAGAATGACGGATTACTTCAGCTTGAAGATTTTGGAGTTAAATAGTGAATGTTGTCTGGTAGGCATGCACCATTTGCTCTTTTTTCCTATGATATTTCTTCTATTGCATAATTCCCACTAGTTCCTTTTTTTACTTCTTTCTCTTGTGTGGGAAATCTGTTAGTTAACTCCAATGTGCATGCTTTTTATATGCTTCAAGTGGTATTAAAGTGAACTGTCTTTATAAAAATTGCAAAAGTGTCCTCTCAGATAGTGCCTAATTAATTCTGAAACATGTCAACAACAATATGAAGAAAGTGATGTGTTGCCTTCAGATGGTGAAGGAGAACGAAGCAGCAGCTATCTTGCTAGGACAGCACTAAGAACTTGTGAGCAAGAAGATTTAGAAACGATATAAGTTAGAAGCTTGATCATATTAGAGAACATATGAAAATATCATGTAAAGGTGTGAGGTCTGTGAACTGGAGAAGACTGGAACAATAGTGGTGCAACAAAAGCTGAGGTAATAATACAAAATATCTGACTAGCATCAGTAGGTATTGAAGGTCCTGCTGAGGAAATCGAATAGAAACAAATTATCAATTTAGCAATGCAATAAAAAAATCAATTTAATATTATTCTTCTATGAGACAAGTGTGAAGAAGACAATGATTATTTTCATTGTCATTAATTTGTTAACTGATTTACTGCTTGGTGCAGTTAAAAGATGAAAAATAATAATAGTTATTTTCTCAGTTCCTATTTTTCGTATGTTACTTCTTTAACTAGTTGCCTCGTCTAACGAAAGCATTCTAATAAAGTATTGCTATTCTGGGATTTTGTTATATGTGAACCTACTAGTCGCAACAAATCTGCTCGGAAAATCGGATGAGGAATTCATTCTGACTTATGCTTAAATGAGTGTAATTATGCAAACATGTATTTTGTTAGAGTCATAACTATTTGATGGTAATGTCCAAGACTTGATCTGATCTTGAATTAAAGATATTTTTCATCCATTTTGAAGCTAGAGAATTATGCAAAAACTGAAGAAGCCAAAGTCGAGGAGCTCATTAAAGCTGTTGCAGAGTCCGGTGCGAAGGTTATTGTGAGTGGAGCAGCAGTTGGAGATATGGCATTACATTTCTGTGAGCGTTACAAGTACATCTCCTTCTTCTACAGGGGCAATATCATTCATTTTCTGTTTGGTGTTTGTTTTTTTTTATTAATTCTTATGAGTTTTCCAGGTTTACAGTTGTTTTGCCATGTGTTAATTTTGCATTGTTAGTGCCTTTTCTGTTATCTCTTTTTCATTTCCAATATCCTGCATTGCACATTTAATAGGACATATGAAAGCAGGAATGCTACTGAGATAGGTCCATCATTTTGATGGTTAATGGATATGTTTTTTTTTCTTTTTATCATTGTCCCTTGCAGGACAAATATGGTGATAATGAGGGTTTCCTTTTTTGTATCTGTTTATGTTCATTCAACTTTGGTAGATTTCTGGATCATTAATTAATATGCTGGACATTTGGTAGGTGTTGATGAGTAAAAACTGCATATGTTTGAAAGCTATTTTTCTACTGAATCAAGCGTTCCTTCATAGTTTTTAGTTGTATCTTTATAACACATATGTTCTTCATCCGGATTTTGCTGAAAGAAACTTTATCTAAGCAGTACATTAGAAGGTGGCATTTAGGAATCATGATTGCAAAACCACAAGGGAACAATTTGGCATTTGAATTCCTCAAGAAAGTCTTTATCAAAATGAACTGCTTCATGCATTTACATACATTGTATGTAGTTTGTACATTTCTTTTCTTATAACAGTGATGAATATAGAAATTGGTTGTCCAAGAGAAACAAAATATTTAGTAACTAATGGTGCATTTTATTTATTGGTAAAAAAAAAAGCTTTAACTCCGCCAGTTGTTTTGCAGACTCATGGTTCTGAAAATTAGCTCCAAGTTTGAATTGAGGAGATTTTGCCGTACAACTGGTGCTGTGGCTCTTGTAAGTTGTTTGTTGTTGCATCACACTTTCTGCTTGCACCAGTATATGCTTATTTCTTAGTTGACAACTTGTGTTTAATTTTGCAAACAGCTGAAACTGAGCCAACCAAGTCCAGATGATCTTGGATATGCAGACTCCATTTCAGTGGAGGAAGTTGGCGGTGTCCGGGTATAATTGCTACTTGTAGTTTTCTTCACTTTTCTTGTATAGTCAGCTTAGTATGCTACCACTTCCACTACATTTTTGATAGGTAACTATTGTGAAAAATGAAGAAGGTGGAAATTCAGTCTCCACAGTTGTTTTACGTGGCAGTACTGACAGTATTTTAGATGACCTTGAAAGGGCCATTGATGATGGTGTTAATGCATACAAGGTGAACTTTTTCATGGATTATAATTTCTTGTGATGTGGCATATGTTTTTCTTTTGCTAAAAATTTAGGATACACTGATCTTGTTGCACTTTTGTGTCATGTTACTGTAGTTTTTGATCTATTCTTATATTTATTTTCCCTATGGATCAGGCAATGTGCAGAGATAGCCGTACTGTTCCTGGGGCTGCTGCAACTGAAATTGAGTTAGCAAGAAAGTTGAAGGAGTTCTCCTTAAAAGAAACAGGGTATGGCTTTTTGTGTTCAGATCTAATTATTGTGCTAAAAGACAGCAATAGAATATATATAGCTTTGGGAATTCTGGCAATATTTTTTGGTACTTTGAGGTTTTTGTGTGCGTCTGGAAATAATTATTCATATGTCCTGCTAACTTTCTTTTTTACTTAACATATTAGGTTTTAATTACATTTTGATGTCACTTTCCAATTCCACATACTTTGGGGTTTTAGGTTCATGGAAAATCTCTACATGATTTTAGAAGCTTATGGTAGTTCATCCTTAATAAATCACATGAGAGTGGACTGAAAGCACAATCTTTTTCTTAGTTTACATGATTATGACATGAGTAATTGCTAGCTTGGATGGATGATATTGATGTTTTCCATTTGAGCTCTACATTTTTTTCCCTCCATATTAGCATGTGGGAAAGGTGAGTAATATGGTTTTCTTAGGTAACATGGAATGAATGTCAGTTTGTTTTGTGATCAAGAACTATTATACAAAACCCAAGAAAAGTAAGTAGTCTATTTGTCTGTATAGTCCCAGTTATCCATTTGGTCAGGACATCTACTTTATACTGTGCAATCATGGTTCTAATCTTGTCGAGGTGCAGAAGCTGCTGCAAGCGGTCGACTACTTAGGTGTATGTAGAAGCTGCTGAAACATTGCATCTTGTATTAACACCTTCGATTGTCTTATTGCAGGTTGGATCAGTATGCAATTGCAAAATTCGCTGAAAGCTTTGAAATGGTACCTAAAACCCTAGCTGAAAATGCAGGGTTGAATGCGATCGAGATCATTTCTTCCTTGTATGCTGAACATGCTGCTGGAAATGTCAAAGTTGGTATTGACTTGGAAGAAGGTGTCTGCAAGGATGTCTCAACCATAAATATCTGGGATCTCTATGTTACCAAGTGAGACTCTCTTCAAACATTAACCTTTATTATTCTTGAAGCTCCTATTTACTTTTTGTTATTTCCATTGGTAACTAGTCGTGTTATGTAATCAAAGCTTTTCTATTGCTTTCCTTTTTTTAAACTACCTTAATGTATGTAGAAAACTTGTAATTATACAAACTGGGTCTGTTAACTTAGCTGTTCAGCTAATACATCACAAATTGTCCTAGCAGCCATTATTAGATTATAACCCTACAGTGTTAAATTACAGCAATGTTTCTTATTCAATGATTGGATGTTTTGATTTTTTTGTTGGTTGTTCATACTAGTTATATAGTTATAACTCAATAAAACTGTAAAAAAAAATTGGTACTGTTTATATGAACAAATTTTGGAAGGCAGATTCAAATAACGTCTTATATGCACTGAGAGTAATGAATGTATTTAAAGGAAAAACGACGCTTGGATAATGATGTTGTGTTGGTTGCTTGCTTTATGTTCTTTCTGTCAAAGTAGAGAGGAGAAAGATCCATTACTGTATAACTTGTGGAAACCATTTTTTAACATTTAGTGTAGTTAACCTTTTTACAGTTTAACTCTGCATCAACTGGTGCTGTTTGATGAAAGTTGATGTGATCTGTCGGTGACCAAGGGTGTGGAGAGATGTTTTCACATGATGAATAACAGTTTCTTCAGATGCTTTTATATTTCCAATTGTATAATGTAAATAACCATCTGCTGGTAGTTATAACTCGGTCTTCTGATCAGGTTCTTTGCTCTCAAATATGCTGCTGATGCTGCGTGTACTGTTCTCCGGGTCGATCAAGTGAGTCCCCTTTTGCTTCCTAGCTTTATGATCCAGATTTTCCATGTTAATTTTTGTCCATAAAGCCCAGTTTTCAACATTAGCTTTTTGGGCGTGGTTCTCTTCCCCTTATCAATTGAATGTGCCTGGTTTGACAGATCATAATGGCGAAACCAGCAGGCGGCCCAAAGAGAGATCCAGCGGCAGGCATGGATGAGGATTAACCTAACTTGGAAGGTTGAAGGAATCATCATATTAGCAATTTAATTTCATTTAAAACTGGAGTTTGGTTTTTGCATTCTTTTTATATTTGATCTGAGGACATTGTAAGAGATTTTGACAGGAGGCAAAATCTGAGCAAAGAGCACATGGATTCATGGCGAGTGTGATAGCGTGGTGCGTTTTGAATCTGTTCTGTTTGAATCTTGATGGTGTATGTAACTCTTAATTTGGTGTACCAAGATGAATCCTGGGTCAGAAAATATTCTTGTGCAAAACAATATCTTCAATTATTACAGCCACTTTTCTTTATCTTTAATATGGTGTATCAATGTTTGCCCTTTTATTAATTATAATTCATAATTATCGGCCTTTAAGAGATTAATTTTAAGTTTTGATGGTTTATGTAATTCAAAGCTTTGAATAATGAATTGAAGTGAGGTAATTATGCATTCCGCTGCCCATAGCATAGCCACAAGTGTCAACATGAGCATTCAAAGGACGACGAGGCAGCAGATAAGGGAGGAGGTAACAGACCTGACCGTTATCCCGAAACAAAGATATGAGGCCTCTGTGAAGCTAGCTGGGAGCAAGAGGAGTCTCCAATGGCCTCCCTCCTCCCTGTCCACCTCCCTAAACCTAATCCCCGCTTCCCCATCAGAACCTCGTCCGCCGCCGCCACCACCACCACCACCACTACCGAGTCTCTCCAGGAACGCTTCGGCCGGAAGGGAATCAAGTTTACTGAGGCTGGCGAGGTCCCCTCCGTCGAGCTGACCGTCAGAAACGGCAGCTCGCTCCGTCTCCGAATCCCCGACGGCCTCATCACGTCCTACAAGCCCAAGGTGTACTGGAAGGATGATGGGTTCGAGGAGGTGCTCTACACCATCGGCGGTGGCGGGCCCGGCGACTTCCCCAGAGGCGGCCTTGGATTGGTTCTCCATGATCTATCGAAGACTGCGGCTGGTGGTTCTCCTTGGGGTGCTTCGGAATGGATCGTGAAAGATGCCGACTCGGACTCCTTCGACGCAGTCCAGGTACTGATGCTCTACTACTTAGTAATCCTCTGTTTTGGCATCAGATTGTTGTGATCTGAACGCGCAGCAGAGTTCATGGTAAACACCAAACGGAACAAGCTATTTTACTCTGGTGTTTCTGTGCAGGTTGAGCTGAGCTGCAGCAATGATGATGGCTCCCTTGATATCACATACGTCGTGTCGCTCTATCCACTGAGCATGGCCACAGCAGTCGTTGTGAAGAACAAGGGAAAGAAGCCGGTGGAGCTGAGCAGTGCAATGCTGAGCCATCTCAAGTTCAAGAACCAGCGCGGCTCCGCGATCCATGGCCTCAGGGGCTGCTCCTATTGTGCTCATCCTCCTCCCTCGTCCACCTTCGGTCTTCTGTCTCCGGCTGAAGCTATGCAGCCTGAACCTCCCAACTGGCTTTCGCTTCTGAGTTTTAGCGAAGACAAGAAGGGCAAGGACTGGACCGTGGAGGATGATCTGTACACTATCTTGAAAGGCAAACTGAGCAGAGTTTACGCTGCACCTCCAGCAGAAAGATCGAAGAGGATCTACAATACTCCACCATCAAAATACACGACTATCGATCAGGTAATGTCCCACTCTTCCCAAGTAAATTTAGTTGCAGTACACATACACTAGATACATGAGCAACAACCATGAGAACCCAGAGCATCCTTTTCTTCTTGACAAGAAATTTGGGTTACTGATTTTTGTGATTATTTTTGAGAAAAAAAATGTCGATTTTCATCCAATTTATAGTTGGATTGTGAGAAAAGAATTACTTCCTCTGGTTCTTGTTTCCCTGACATGCCTGTGCTGGTACAATATCACCAGACCATAGCATGACAGTATGAAGAATCTCTAGAGGCATCAAATGCTTGGTGTCCAATTGCAAATACAGCACTCAATCAATCTCTCCATGCTTATGAACATGATAGAAATTTGATTTTTTTATTTAAATTTGAAACTTCCAATTCCACATGGTAAATTGTCATTGATGTGCATGAAACTCCTGATTAAGCTTTTAAATCTGCCATTGACTTGGTGCAAGAGCAAACAAATCGATCTGGCTTCCAATTTGTGTACAATACATAGTATCACCAAATCAGATTATGTGTCTTCACTGCATTATCATATTTAAAAGAATGAACATGCTTCAGTTGGCCAACTGGCTTTTTCACATTTTGCTGATGATAATAAGGAGCTTGCTTTTGCAGGGCACTGGCCTTGGATTTAGGGTGATAAGAATGGGGTACGATGACATCTACTTATGTGCCCCTGGTTCTCTCTCTCAAAGATATGGGAAGGGATACTTCATCTGCACTGGCCCTGCTTCCATGCTGGTACCTGTGGTTGTCAACCCAGGTGATGAATGGAGAGCAGCACAAGTTATTGAGCATGACAATTTATAGTTTCACATGCATGGAATTATAGCACAATTTCTTTTCAAAGTTGATTTTGCTTTACCAAAAGAAATTGTTCTCCTTCAATCTGTAATTAAATTCTAATATTGTTTAAATGGTTCAAGCTTTCCATGGAGAGGTGATGGTCCATTAGTCAAGTCTATTTTTTTAGTATGAATCAACATGATCTGGTACAGGTCAGGTGCTTGGTGACTCCAGAGAAATTTCCTAAAACTCAGATATAAAGTACTGTTGGGTTGATGCTGAAACCACAACAGCATTCAACTGGTTTCATTGAAGTTCAGCAGAAGGGAAAACCTCAGTGTCCAACCATTCATGTGCTCAACTCAAAAGATGATCTCTAGTTTGGGAAATGCACTTCAATAGGGACCAGGAGGTTCTTTGATCAAATGTAGACAGTGAAAAAGAATATGATGATTTTGTCTAAATGCAATCCAATAGGGTAATGATTTCATTTTTGCTCAGCAGTCTTCCATGCAATTTTTTTTCTTTCTGATATTAAAATGATATACAGTTAATACTTTTCCATGGTCTTTGAGCAGAACTCCCAAGAACAGTAGCAGCATAGAACTCCTGGAGCCTGAACATAGCATGCACAAAGTGGAGAATGCAAAAGAACCCAAGGATGAGAAATGAAAGACTGTCAAAACATGAGCAGTTGTCTGAGCAAACATAGGACATCTTAAACCATGATCTTAAATATCTAGCCAAAGTACATTGACTTCATACATGATGTTTGACCTGACTCATAACTAATCTCAAGAAAACATCACTGCACTGAGCAGCCTACATTGCATGGTCACTTGCATCACAATCCTTCATCAGTCAAACATACAACAGTGCGGTATCACATGTGGCAAGCCAACCTAAAGATGACAAGGAGCAAATACTAAGTGGGAACCATATCAAAGACAAGCTCATCATTGTCAGTCCACATTGATGAGAAGATGGTGGCAAGAAGTACCATGAAAGCACCCCAGATCAAGCCCAGGGCAGCTGTAGTATACCCTATCCGGTTTCTACTCTTTACCACCACTGAATTCTTATCCTCATAATCTGCTCCGTCTAACACTTTGCAGATGCTACTTTCAGGGACATCACCAGTAGATGAAACTGATTCTGTGCCATCTTGTGCCGGTTCAGCATCCTTGTGATGGTTCATCTTTCCTAGCCACTCCACATCTTCAAAGCATCTCTGTTCGGCCTCCGAGTTCAGATTCTGAGGTTGTCTATCTTTGTCAAAGGCCCCATTGGGTTTCCATTCAACAACTTCATGCGATGACTGACTGATCGGCAGAGCAATGCTTTGGTTCTTGGTGTTTTCGGTGTCTGGTTCTGTCAAATCCTGAAGAGATCGGATGAGTTTTCTTGGAGTAGTGTAGATCTTGATATCATCAATTCTCAACCGCGATATGGGTCTCTGCAACACCAACACGATCACTAAGTTTCACTGCAGGCATTAGTGCACAGAACAACGTAAGCAAACATATGTTCGTGTACCTGAGGACTCGGTGTGGTATCTCCTGCTACTTCTGTGTCATTGGCCGGTGCAAATCCAGAGAATGCTTCTGGTCTCTCTTCATCTGAATCACTTGGCTTGCCCTCACTGATATGCTCGAAGTCCATGCGTTTCAGAAACAAGCCATCCTTCAAGGAGACATCCACAGAACAAGCATCACGGCTCCACAGTCTCCTGTTCGGGTGCCGACTGCTCTCAATGCTGCAAGACGACTGACCAACTGAGACAGGAGAGTCGGCAAACACATCATTCTTGATAGAGGAGTCGACGGTGTGCGACTCAGGCGAGCAAACGGAGCCGAGGTGTTCTCTAGCGTGCCGTGGACTCCTTTGGTTTCTCCTACGGAAGTTCGAGTTCACGACCGGGCTGGAACCAGTTTCAAGCTTCGATCCTCTCTGCGTACTGAGGGCCTTTGCAGTCTGCAGTGCCTCAGATGCTGCGCTCCTCACCAACGGCATCTTGTCGTCGGCTTGGCATTTCTCCATGACATCTACTATCTTGAAGACCTCGGAAGAGATGCTTCTCGGATCCACACACTTCATCAAGAAGTTGATCATCTGAACGGCCGAGAGACGTTTCTGGGAGTTGCTGGCGGCGGCACCGGCAGCCAAGATCTGCAAGCCAGACCGCACGAGAGACCTCGAGTAAGCCTCGGCCACCAGGCCATTGTGCTTCGCCAAAGCCATTGCCAGGCTCATGTGAGCACTAGTTTGGGTCGCTTTCTCTTCCAGGGCCACTGCAACTCTCAAGCAGACCTCATTCACCATCTCGCCCGGGGCAGACGTCCAGTTGCCCGATTCGACCAGGGCCTTGAGGCAGAGGGCGGCCCCGGCGGCGGCGCTCACGTGCGAGCCCATCAGAGCATCGGAAAGGGGCTTGCAGAGGGAGCGAACGATCCGCGTCTTCTCGTCGTCTGGCGTCGAGGGATCGATCCCGTGCCGAGCGATCGCAGGCACGACTCTGGAGCAGGCCTGGTGGAGGGCAGAGGATCCTCCGCTCGACGACAAAGTGCGCATGATGGTGGACATGATGCTGTCGATCTGCGGCACGATGTTGCGGCCATGGACTCTTGCAAGGACCTCGTAGAGGGAGATGGTGCGCTCGCCGGAGGGGATGCGTTTGGAGTCCAAATCCTTTGCATAAGACTTCAGAGCTGTCATGGCAGACCTGCGGCTGTCGGCATCCTTGTCGAGGTTGGCCAGCTCCTGGCGGAGCATCGGGCTAAGACTTCTCCCCATAAAGCGAGGATCACTGACAAGGAAAACAAACAAGAATCAGAAATCATTAGCAACACAATCCCACATCAAACTATTCGAAAAAAAGGAAAATTTTCTCAGATAGTAGTAATTCCGACAGAGAAGCAGAAGGGATCTTCGAAGATATGGTCAAATCCTACAGTAATTAAGTAACAAAAGATTCCAGAAAACCAAGACAAGCTAAAAATGCAACCTTTCGTACTCTACTTCCACAAAAGACAGAATAACATCAAGAAACCATGTAAAGAAGATACGGACTATAATTTCGAGCTCAGATGATGGAAATGACGAAGAGAAGATGGTAAAATGGTGCCGCCATTCCTGTAAGAAACGAGAACATTCAAGAACAGCTCAAGAAGCTCCAAATAAGCCCTAATTCAGTGACGTTGAGGAGGAAAACCTAAATAGTGACCTTTCTTTTGGCTCCCTTTCTTTCTCCTCCGATCGTCGGGTGCCCAGATCGACGGGAGGCAGTAGGAGAGGTGGATAAGGAGCTAAGGGAGAAAAGTTTTGGATCTGAAGTGGGGTGAGAGAGTGGAATTCAAGAAAGATGTCTGTTTTAGGGCTTCCGATGAGGTGTATATATATATTACGGCGAAAAGATCTGTCAATTGAATTGGGATTGGGAGGGAAAGGGTAGCATTTGGATTTGAATTCTGGCCATGCGATTGCCTCGCTAACCCCTTGTGTTGTTGATCGCATATATGTCTTTATGCGGGCTTCCATCGTCTCCTATTTGATTATATATATATATATATATATACATATATATATACCATTCTTTAGATTAATGTGTCAAATTGATATTTTTTATAGGTCACATATCAAAGTTACTTATCTAAAATATTAATATGATGATATAAATTTTAATACCTAAAACATTAGTCTGTCAATGGTTTATTTTAACAATCCAGTTGGTAAAGTCTTGGAAGCTTTAAAAAAAGAAAAAGAAAATATTAGGCAGCAATTATGCAGTTGGGCTTGGTTTGATTTGGGCCTTAATGGGCTTTTGCTAATCCAACATCATCTTGGGCTTCCTGGAAGACTTTGCTTGGCCCAATCGAGCCAGCTTTGTCAGGTCAGTCTCTCCTGATTCATACACCAACATACGTCGAGGAACAAGTCATAGGCACTCGGAAGAGACCAAATCCACCTGTTGGAAACTGGGGGAAAGAGAAGAGTCCAAGTCTTCTCCAGTGGACTTCTTCAATGCAGGAGAAAAAGTGCTGAGAAGATCCCATTCTCAGCATTGGACTCCTTTGAATTTGACTCTCTGACTCCATCTCCTTGTTTGGACATCCAGAAAGAGGAGACTCGTTGATCAGCAGAAGCCTTGGCCTCTTTTATGCTCTCATGAAACAAGGAGGAAGGTGAGTCTGAACCCCCCATTTCTTTATGCATACAAGTGACAAGGAGACAGGAGACTTACCTTTGGAGGTTACTGCAATGGAATCATGGTGTTCTGCCGAATAGTCTTCCTTGGCATATGTAATGTTCCGGGGAGTGCAAATAGCATGATGGTGTCCATGAAAGAAGGCCATCTGAATTGACCAAGAGATATAAAACTCAGAGGCCAATGATGAACAGATATCAGAGAAGAAGAAGATCAAGTGATCACATTTGTATGACACTCTGCTCTCCTCCATAACACCTTTTATTTGTCTTGAAAGAGAACAAGATCATCATGTTACAGGTTTCACTCACCAAAATTTCAGAAATACTTGTGTTGATATCTTTGTTCATGTAATTCCATTGGGAGAGGAGGGCAATTCATAGCCTTCCATTTTGTGGAGTTACTGAACATGGATGGAGTTGGTCAGAAGCAAAGCCTGTGAGATATATGATGCTATATGAAGTGGCAATAATTCATTCATGTCCATCACCCTTTATATATTTTCTTGACAAAAGATAACATGATTCTATCTCCTTATATGGTCATTGTCAGGCAAGTTTGGGAATACCTACCTTTATTCTCTGCCCCCTTCTCTTTGTCCCACTCTTTCCTCCAAGTGAGACCTCTTGAAGAGCTGGTGAGATCACTCCTCATGGTCCCCTTCATTCACTCTTTCCTTGCTAACCCTAGTAGCCATTAATTTCACCAAGCATCAAATAGCTTCTACCAATTCATACAGGTCTCTTTGATTGTAGGATTTGCCATTGCATCTCAACCAAATATGTCAGTGCTCCCCCTCCCTTTAGACTTAGTTTTTTCCATAGTGTACTGTATAGTGTGAGGACCTCTTCATACAGCCCTGCAAACATCAAGGAATCTTAAAGTAGGAACTCCATCATGAGTTGTAAGGCTTGCTCATCACCTTGTCCTTTTCTTTTCTTTTTTTTTATCTAAAAAAAATTATTTTCTTCAAATAAAATCTATGAAATATTTCGAAATATATCAATAATATACAAAACATTTCGGAACATATCAAGAGCGGATAAAATATTTCGGAGGCATAAGAAGCATTTCAAAACATATCAAACAACAAATATGAAGCAAAAGCTCGTTATATTTGACATTGCATAAATTTCATTCTTATCTAAAACACATATAAAAACATATAACCAAAGTTCTGAATATCATATCAAATAGATAGAAGGTAAAGTGATATCTCAAACATAATCTCACACATTTAAAAGCATCATCTATCTACGTTCGGATAAAGCCAGAGGATACCAACAGAGCATCACGAGCTCTAAGCATATACCTTTTATCATTTCCGACAAAAGTCCAAATAATCCGTAAAACCTTCTGAATATTTTTCAGAGTAAAAAAAATACGACGGAATTAAAGATCCTGCTATTCTTCTAATAAAAATATTTAGCATATTATTCCAACTAATACGAAGTAGATCGAAAGCAAAACAATATATATGAAACTAACATATAAAAATCTTAGATTTTTTTTTCCGATAAATAATCTAATATAATCGACACATTAAATTATGAAGACAAGGATCGGTACCAACATAATTTACTGCACATGACAACAGAAGAACACTTGCTACTGCCACATTATATTACTAACATTAATCTATTTGATTCCTCCAACAATTGTGCCACTCCAAAACATACGATGGAGTCGATTAAATCAAGTCCAAATGCAACGATGCTATTAAAAATACTACGGGATGAGATTTCTATAAGATCTTTATCTTCTCATTGGAAGGCTAAGATGGGCCCCCACAAGGCAATCAAATCAGAAACCGGTGACTTAATTTGCATTTATATTTACATGCAAAGTTACACATCTATCCCTATACATACATATTTACTCTTTTTCATATTTATCCCTCAAATTTAAGTATATATGTGTATCATTATTATTATTCTAAAACCCAAAAAGTATATAATGTCACTATCCTTAATATTTTTTATTTTAATTATTAAATCATTTTATTTTATTTTCAGTTTAAGCTATTTTATGTTAATTATATATATATATATATTTGTGTGTGTGAGAGAGAGAGAGAGGTAGAAAAAGATAATTTTAATATGGTATAATTGACTAATAATGTTATATAGAGATTCAAGTATGATGGTGATGAGGAGTTACCAAACACGAACCAAAACCCACGCAAGGGAGTCGCTTTACAAAGCGAGAGGGGAGAGGGCGGATCAAATAAACCCATGCATGCATGGTATGTGTCCTTCTTTCTCTCTCTCTCTATCTCTCTCTCTCTCTCTCTCACACACACACACTGCCCACATAGGAGTCCATATGTATTTGGAAAGGAGTAGAGGAAGGGGAGAGGAGATTGCTTTGTAGCCCCCCTATTCAATAAAAATCCCACCTTTCTCTCCTCTCCTCCTCCGCCACGCCGCTTCTGCTCCCAATCCCGCCTCCCTGCCTGCCCCCCCACCGCCCCCTGAACCCCTTTCCCTGTCTCCCTCGCCCTCGGAATTCCCTCCGGGGCGATGGCCTGGTGATGCGTCGGCTGGTTCTGTCGCTGGTGAGACCCCTCGCCCTCCCCCTCTTTCTTGATCCGATCGATGCCTTTTCGTGCGTCTCCGATCGTCCCTTGCGTCCCTTCCCTCGTCTTGCTCGTTCGGCGCTGATCTGCGCCCGAACTTCTTTCTTCCGGGTTCTTGGCTTTGTCGTGGAAAGTCGGGTTCTTGTTCTTGTCTTTTCCTTTTCCTGTGGGTGATCAGGGTTTTGGGGGTTGCTGCGATTTAGGTGCATTTGATGGGGGACGACGGAGGACTCCGGGTTCGATCTCAATTACGCCCTTCTCTCTGGTAGATTCTTGTTCTTGTTGCAAGATTAATCTGTATGAGTTGGAGTGGATCTCTGTTCTTTTCGGTTGTATTAAGGCCTATCTCTATGCTATCAATCTTCATCATCTGGATTTCGGCAGTGACATTCTTTGTTGGATAGCGGTAGATTGATCACATTCGTTCTTTATGTATATCTCTGCTTCCGAGGATTTGCTTAGATCATCTTTTTGTTGATGTAGTTAGCATTGATCACATTAGGATATATGCTATTAATAAAATTGATCTTCTATGTTATGCTGCATTGCTAACGTCTTCTTGATTAATTGTAGATGCACATTTCGTTTAACATAATCTTTTTCTCTGTTTTCCTTGGAATAAGTTTTGGTGCATCATCTTCTTTTTGTTTAGAGGAGGTTTGTGATCCGAGGAGAGTCGTTCGTTTCCTGCACTTCCAAGCGGGCTAGTGGCTAACTCTGTTTTACACATATCAAGGAACGGAAGACCATTCTGTCCCAATATGGAAGCAGAAAAGCTTGATCAAGATTTTGATGAACTCGATAAGCTTCTTGGAGAGATACCAACTGCTACTATAGGAAATCCTTATACCAGAAAACACATCCAAAACGGTGCCGCACTGGACTTTGAGCTAATTTCTGTGAATGAGGTTGAGAAGACTTCTACTCCAGGTGACTTGTATGGCATGTCATGTACTACTCTAGCTGTGAAAGATTGTGAAATCATCTCTGCAGATGATACGTTGTCATCATCCAAGACTCCGTTTGATCAGGAAGATGGTCCCAGAAGCTACCATGGAACATCAACTACGATAACTGACCAAAATACAACAAATTTACCAGATGAACAATCCCTGGCTTCGGCATTTGAGGATCTAGGCTTTATGGATAAGATTGCAGCTGTGTCAACTACTCCCTATTTCAAGTGCTATCCATCGTCATCTAATCATGCGCTCTTACCTGACGGACACTGTTCAGAAAACTTGGAAAATTCTTCTGGACTTGAGTCTGCAGAGATGTCAATCCTTCCATTATCCATCAGGCAAAATGGAGTTTGTGTACCCAATCCTGCATCGGAAGGGTGCTCACCTTTTGTAACCAAGGATGCACCCAGCATACTGAATGGAATGGTGGATGGACACGATGATGCTAGACTTCTGAAACTCAATTTTCATGACCCAAGGAACCAAATGTCGAAGAGTGTATTTGGTGAATGTGGAGAGCAGAGGCAAAGCTTTCCAGTTTGTTCTGCTTCTATGCCAGTAAATCAAGGAATACATGCTTATCTCCTGCCTGGACTTTCGGCACAGGGTTTTGAGTTTCCTCCTCCATCATTCCAGCAGCAGTACTATATGGATCCACCACCCCATGATTATATACATCATCATCAACAACGGCAACAGCAACAGCAACAACTAAGTCAATCCAGCGCGTTGTGGGGCGACATGCAGTATGAGAGAAACTGCAGAGATAACCTTCGGTATCTCTACTCGCAACAACTCGAAAATCAACACTTCGAAGGGCAAAAGAGGAGAATCTCGGCAATTGGGCCTTTGTCCGGTAATACAATACAGCCATATCTTCACATGTCCATTCCTCACCAAGCAGGACAAGTGAATCAATATTCTTATGGGAATAACAGTGCGACTAACAGGAGATACAATCAGTTGGATCCTTCTTTGCTGAGAAGTAACCTTGGAAGATGCCATCATAATGGATTATCTGGCCAGTTCAAGAGCTGTTCTTTTCCACAAGGGCAGGATATTGCATCTTCTTATGATTTATATAGTCCTATTAAAAGTGCCCATGGACCTCAAATTTCAGAAAGATTCAGTAAACAAACATTTCCTGAAAAAATTCTGACAAGATCTCATGGTGTGGACTTGCTTCAAACTCTTAAATCTGGTGCTCCTGGGAACAATCAATTGCCAGAACATGCTGACATCACTCGAAGAGTCTTTAGTAATGATAATGCCCACAGCCATGTCGTTCACGGTGTTCAATCATTAGACCTAGATGCTCCAAGCAACCAAGGTTCATCTCCTGATAATTTGAGTGAGAGTCATGATGTAAAGTCATCGGGTTTAAAATATGATTCGTTGAACAATGCCATTGGAAAAATACATGTGTTGGCTAAAGATCAGAATGGCTGTCGCTTCTTGCAGCAGATATTCAATGAAGGAAATCATGAAGACGTCGATATACTCTTTCTTGAGATTATTGATCATGTTGTTGAGATTATGATGGATCCCTTTGGGAACTATCTTGTCCAGAAATTGGTGGAAGTTTGTAGAGAGGAGCAAATAACACACATTATACATGAAATTTCTCAGGGTTCTGACAAACTCCTTAAAATCTCCTGCAATCAGCATGGGTAAGTTTGTTTTTTTCGTAATATCATGCTGTTAAATTTTATCCTGTATTGATAGTATGTCATCTGTTCTTTGTTGCTTCGTGTTGACAATTGCAGGACTCGTGTTGTACAAAAAATACTTGAAACTGTCAAAAGTCCAGTACAATTTTCCATGATCGTCTCTGCTTTAAAACCTGTTATAGTGTTATTGATAAAGAACAACAATGGTAGCCATGTTGCACAACGTTGCTTGGACTGCCTTTCACCTGAAAATAAGGAGGCAAGGATATTTGGTTCATTCTTCTCTTTTTTGTTTCTTACTTTGTTTTCGTTCATTTTCGGTTTTCAATTGCAAAAGAGAACATTTTTTGTACCAGAGATGTTAAAGAGTTGCAGTTGCATATCTTAGAAGTACCATAATGTATCGTTTTGCATTTTCCATAGCATGCGATACATGTATTTATTTAATAATTTTTTTAATAGTTTTGACTGTTTATAGAATTAAAGGCAATAAAGCATGGAAGAAGTTGGGAGTACGGTGTAGAGATGCTATCTTGAAAATAAAAAATACTTTATTTTTGAAATGATTTATAAAATATATTTATTGTAGTTGAGCAACCCCTTATTCAATAGAGGAACTAATTCATCCAGCATCGGTCTAAGGTTTCGAGGTCTTCTATCTTCGACAGGAGATTCACACTGACAGCTAGAGATGAACTCAAGCCAAGCACAAACATACACTGTTTGGTTTGGTTGAACATGAAAAAACGAGTCATTTGTTTAAGCTCGGCTCATTCAGTAGCAGCTAATAGCCCAATTATCGCCTTAGGAACCCAAATGGTTTCATGGTGCTGCTACATATATGGTGTAGCAACTAACACCATGAACCACTTCAGGCGACAGTGTCCTCTATGGCTGTTATCTAGAAGAATTGATCCACTGAAGTGCCTTCCTTTTTCTTTTCAAGATCAAAAGACCATTCAGATTCACAGACATCAAGTTCATCAAGGGGTCGCACTCTTTATAATGTTTCTTTCACAACATATAGAAAAGAAGGAAAAACTTAGATATGTTATCTTTTATATCTTTCTTTTTTTCTTTACTCCCTGTAACTTCCATCTCTTGATATCTTTAAGCTGAATCTTCATAAATATTCATCTGAAAGTTACACTCATTTGGGTTTAGCTTTGGGAAATGTTTTATCATGCAAGGATTGCATGTGTTAGCTAGATCGTGTTCTGGTTGCCAATGACCATTGGCAAGTGCCAGGAATGTTCTGACAATAATTTCTGGCATATGATTTGCACAGGCTTGGCATGCCACTGATGCTGCCAACTTCACCATGCATGACTCCTTGACTAGCACATGCACATGCCCTGGTTTTGAATAGTTGATATGCACGGCAGACTTCCATGCTATGTTTGTTTACTTAGTCTATGAAGTTCTAAAAGCCTGGATATGCTCTTCTTTGTATTGCTCACCATTTTATATTTTGGACTACTCCTAACGTTGTAAAATAGCACTACCGAGACCCAATTTGCTATCTGCCATTAGGACATTCTAGTACATTCATGTTTTTAATTGATAATGTACCCCTCAGGATTGGTGGAGTAATAATGCCCATGAATTATACTAGTGACATGCTATATGGAAGCATTCACGACATATGATGACCAGAGGCAATCTGGAAAACTGTTTTTCAACTTTCTATTTGCTTCAACTACTATGCATCTTCATGTATAAATTTTCTTCAGGATAGCGGAGGTAATAATGGAACATAACTCTTTCTTCTAGGCCGTCTTGCATAAAGAAACATTTGAATTATTAGGAACATTTATCCTGTTAATTTTCTTCACCCAAAAGAGGAAAAGAAAAGGACATCGATGAACAAGTTTTAGATCTCAATTTTACTCTTTTACATTTTAGTCAATATTTTTTCTAATATAAATTACTTCCCTATCAGGATCCACAATGGTTGCTGGCTGGCTGTACCATTTGTGGCACCTATTACGCCATAAAACAGATATCAAATCATTTGCTATGTTTTGTGATGTGTTTTGCAGGGTTTTTCTGAATTATAAATATCCAACTGGTCACCTAATTTTGGGAGATCTGGATTACATACTTATATGATTTTGATGCAGAAGAACCGCATAGCCATGATCTATTCAATTTTCATTTCTTTTTATACAAGATTTCATACGTCGAAACTTTGTCTTTTGAGAATTTCTTATCAATTAATTTTAATTTTACATAATTTTTTTGGATACTAAAGTTTCACATCAATATTAAATCTTTGTTCTAGTTAGCGTGGAAGCCCCTTGGTTTTTGAAGATTGTCTTTGTAGTTTACTTTTCCTTGATTAGTTAAAACTGGTGAGGGATAAATCCATTGTTATGCAGTTTTCAAGGGGTATATATGTGATTATGCATTATGGAAACCTCCTTCCTTAGCTTTGGCTTCACATAAGATTCATTATTTTTCATTAATTCAATGCCTTAATGTGATTTTGTTTGTTTAATTTAATTTAGTATTTTCTAGTTTATATGTAGTGATAGTAAAGGCTTCGATCTGCATATGTACACCCACTATTTACTAATCAACCATGAAAAAGTTTCTCAATTATCATATCCGAGGAAGTTACCCTTGTACCTGAATTCTTAGACACTTGATTATCGGGCAAAGGAATTATAGAAAATCTTAACCTTTTGATATCGTCTTTAAGGACTTCTGGAGGAGTTTTGTCTGAAATTATTTAGGTTAATTTCTATTAGTTGCAATCAAGGTTTTAAATGCCGATCTGATACCAGTTTTGGAACCTATTAGGCTGGTACAACTATGGTATAGTGGATGGCATACTGATCTATATTGTCTGGTATCATTGAATAAAATAACAAAAAATTAAGTTGAATGGTATTGTACTGGTATTAGTCTATATGTTTCAGTACTGGTACTTTGTCGGAACGGTAAACAATAGTCAATATGTACATGTATTCTGAAATTTAAATCGCTAGTTGCAATTTATGGAGTGAGTTTCGTCCTCCAGCCAGTTAAACTGACTACAGATGCAAATGCATACCCATGTCTGTCAGTCGTTTTCTAACACAAATGAACAACACCGGTCACCAGTATACCCATACGTAGCAGTATAGCAGTAGGCATGTGATCTGTGTGCATCGAATATGGGCATGACATTACATGTGGTAGTTGATGCAATGTATTCCATCTCTGATCCATTTTCATGGTATCATGCCACACCACTCCACTAAGTGGCGTATGCCTAGTGTGTGGCAAGGGTGTTTTGTAATTTCGACACCACAAGACATCCCATGGGAAGACTGTGATGTCATGGTATGTAGCCATGTTTGTTTGATGTCCAACTAAGTTCTTATCTTCTGCCTTTGTCATAGTTCATCCCCTGCTTCAAATTTAACAACGCACTATGTACCTAACAACTCCTTTTCTATTAAGTGATCAGTTCAAGGTGTTGTGTGTTAATATGGAGTAGAATGCTCTTCCTGATGTTTTTAACATTAATAAGCCAAATTTCTACACTTTCCTGGAATAGATCTCTGTAATAAACTGTACTGATGTTTAATTTTTCTTCTTGTAGTGTCTTTTTGAAGATGCAGTTGCTAACTGTGGTGAGCTAGCAAGAGATCGTCAAGGTTGTTGTGTTCTTCAAAAATGCCTCTCTGCTTTAGATGGAGATCAGAAATTTCGGTTAATATCCAATCTTACATGCAAAGCTCGTGACCTTTCTCAAGATCCATATGGGTATGCTTCATCTTTTTTATTTCTCTTCATTTTCTCATTTCTTATCCTCTCAATACACTGATTCTGTTATTATTACTGGTGTCTTTTGCCCAGCTTTTAAGTACCCTGGCATTTGCTCACATATCTCCTTGATATCCATGCCTAATCCAAAACTCTTTTGGCCAGATAACTATTATGGAATGTTTTCCTCTTATATATCCGTATAACATGAGTTTTTTTTTTTTTTCTTGAAGAAATTATGTGGTGCAGTACATTCTTGATCAAAAGGTTCCATGGGCGACGATCAAAATACTTGATCAACTGGAGGGTCATTACCGAACCTTGTCTGTACAAAAATATAGTAGCAATGTGGTGGAGAAATGCCTGAAGTATGCAGGCGATGCCAGACGCGTCAACATAATCAGAGAACTGATCGATGGTCCTCACTTTGTCCAGATCTCACTGGACCCATATGGGAATTATGTTATTCAATCAGCTCATAGAGAATGCAAGGTTGACCTCATTAAACCTGACTGTACTATACCCTTCATCTTTTCTAATTCTGATCTGATACCGATTTTCTTATTCTGTAGGGTGCACTCCAAGCTGCATTCCGGGAGGCAATAAGGCCTCATGTTACAGCACTCCGCACTAATCATTATGGGAAAAAAGTACTCAGCACATGTTACGGTAAATAAGTTTTGTACAATGTTTTTGGGTCATCGCCGAGATATCAGTGACTCTTTGGATGGTGCAACCAAGGGTCTAGAATCATATTTTTCAGTGCCTGTACGATATGTAACAATGTGGCCGAAAGAAGCAGGATTCCGCTCCCAAAGCTTCACAAAGAGGGGTTGCTCTGCAGTTTAGCAAATTGAGGTGGCAGATGGACATGGATATTTCTTGTTCTGGACAAAACTTGTCACTTGAGAGTCTCGGTGTTAGCTAATCATCAAGGATAAAGGTGTTGACAAAACAGGAGAAAAGTGTAGAAAGAGTTGGGTGTTGGTTTATTGTAGGGTTCAAATTTAGTCCATGGAATGTGTTCTGCCTTTGTTCTACAGTTGCTTTCTTTGCTACTTGTGTATTACTCATCTATTATCACAATATGTCATATAAGCTGTCTTCAAACCTCATTCAGTGATGTGTAGCTTGGATTATGGCAGGTTATATTCACTGATGTTATCATAAGCAAGCAAGAAAGAACATTTGAACTGTACCGTGCCATGCATTTGGCATTTCAGATAAATAGTTGTATAGTTAGAAGCTGAGGACGGCAAGATCTTTATCTGGCTCACTGGATGGATCTACCTTTCTCCATGCCAAAGGAGACTATGGTGTTGTTTGTTGATTTATCCGTCAATTTTCAACACATTTAAGATAATGTTTCTATAATGTCTTTTCTTCATGTTATGTCTATATATATATATAAGTTCAGATGCGACATGTGAGAATTCGTTACTGTTATATATATATATATATATATATATATATATATATATATATATATATATATATATATATATATATATATATATATATATATAAGTTCAGATGCGGCATGTGAGAATTCGTTACTGTTGTCGTGAAAGTCATCGTACGGGTCCCCACGTAAGGTACGAAGGCACAACTCATCAGCCTTATGGAATTACGATCGTGTCCTCAGAAAATATCAATCTCATCGAGAGACAGAATGTTGATGCGAGGAGATCGACCGTCCGTGCGATAGGCGGATTTGGTACAAACAGGGTCGGTAAGTAGTCACTTCGTTTCTCTGCCCACGAAGAGGAGGAAGTCTCTGAGCGTGTCAGGATCCCGACGTCGCCCTCTTCGTTATCGGGCGAGGACACCCTGATGCGCGACCTTGAAACCTCCGACGCGATTTCTTGAGGTCCTTCTGTTGTTTGGGTTGAAATCGACCGCCATGGCGGCTCCCTTCTTCTCCACCCCCTTCCAGCCCTACGTCTACCAGGTGTGCTTTCACGTCCTCCGGCCCACCACATGTTGCTTTGTTTCGGTTAATGCCTTTGTTCTTTGCTGGTGTTACGGTGTCCGTTCGAGTTTTAGTTTGGATCTGCCACTTATTCCTAGGTATGTGCTGGAAATTCTGCAAATCTCGACCGTACTGAGTTTCATTTGCGCGTGTTAGGATGATATTCTTGATTATGTTAGGTAATCAGTCTGTCCATTCATGTATTTGGTCATGTACTGTTCTAGATTCATCTTCCCTGTCCAGTTTTTTATATTCATACGTTTCTTCATTCAATTTATGATAGATGATGCTATTAAAATAAATCGTAGGCACCAAAGTCAATGTGATCTGTTTTAGGTTTTGGAGGGGGTTTGGAGAATCTTCTTTTAGACTACGTTGATTAGTCAGATACAAATAAGAGTAATAGAGTGCTCAGGCTTTACCATGCATCAGACGCATTGGTAGATCGTGAAAGCCTAGGTGGCCATTTTTCTTAACAATGCATACCGACATGGATCGATGCTATCATCATGTGAAATCATTATAGTTCCTAGTTAAACTTCTGATACATAAGCTGTGATTTGATGTCATCTGAATCAAACCTTTCTTCTCTGGTGAGTCTGGTCATTCTTGCTGACAGTATATCAACTACGATGTGGAATACAGGACTTGGTAGGTATAGTAGTTGAATTAACATAACTTAATTTCACTTATCATGTTATTATCTATTGCAGAGTTCCCAAGCAGCAGTAACAGCTTTTCAGATACTGGGTGGCGAGTCTCAGATTGTTCAGGTACTTCACGGTCTAGATTTTATGGTGTTTGGCTGTCCATAACTTCTATGAATCTTGAATATTTTTTTATTTCCATCCAGATAATGTTAAAAGCACAAGAAAAACTTATCGCAATGCCTGGTAAGTTTTCTTGAGGTAATTTTGATTATCTTTTCTGGCCTACTTTTGTGGAGGCTAACCGTTTGTCTTCTTACATAGTCAAGTCAGATGTTTTGCTACAATTTCTTGTAAACTTGAAAGAAAAATCCAGATGCTCCTTTATCTGCTGGATTTGATGCCGTCTGTACTGTTGACTAATTATGAAAGCCATACTGTATTGCTGATAAATCTTTGCAGCTTCATGTTCTAATTTTGACATTTACCACCATGATGTTCTAATTAATCAAAGGAATATATTTTATATTGTTTTTGGTTTTTCTATTATGTTTTTTGTGTTTTATTTACGTATCTTGGCTTTTTCTTTTAATTTTTTGTGATCTTTCAATTTTTATTTAGGTACAGTGTATTACATTTCTGGGTCGATTCAAATGGACAATAACTACATCCCTGAAAATGAGGCAGGATTCTGGCAGTGGATCTTTGGCAAACGTGTGACAAGTGTAGTTATCTCAAATTCTGGACCAGAAGATGGATTTGTTGGAATTGCAGCACCATCTCCTGCAAGGATACTTCCAGTGAGTGCACGGAAAACACTGCAGCAAAATTTCATACAGATTCGATTTATAAACATATTTATCTATTAGAATATTATTTAAAAAACTTCTATCAAATGTTAACTTCGCATGGTGTATCAGCAGCTGCTTTGTGATGATCATCTCACACAGTCATTGCTGATATTGCACAGTAATCATGTGCTACTCCAACTGCTACTGTTTTTTTCTCTGTCCGATTATTAAAATGTTGACCTAATGTTGTGATAACAATCTTTCAAACTATGAAATGGCATTGAATTCTTGCTCAGCACTTAGGTAGTGGTTGTTGAGGTTATGGCAGACTAAGTGGAGGATTAGGCATATAGCTTGACAAACCATAACATTGTTATATTTTAACCTTGTCAAAACATTTGACCTAGGTAATTTGGGTTAACATTATCCAAATTTCTATTATTAATCTCTCATTGACTCGAGCAGTTAGCAGTGGAGATAGGTTCTCAATACAATGGAATCATGTGATTTAGCCAAAGTTTTTTTTTTTTTGAGTTAAGTCCTTTCCGGTACTGGCAATTTTTTGTCTCGATAGGTCATTAGGTCAAACCGAAGCCTAAGTTACTAGCAAATTCGTTTTTTTTTTCTTCTAATTTTGCTATCTGTTTGTGATTCTACTTTAGCAATTTTCTCTTTTTGATTCTTTCATTTTTTTCTTGACAGATTGACTTGGCAAATTTTGGCGGTGAGATTCTTTGCCAGGTAGGGCTGATTATTGAACTTGATGCTTTTAATACTTGGTTCAAAAGTTGGATTTTCTCCTGCATATATCTGCATCATTGTACTACCATGGTGCTTTTCTTTCATCCTTTGCTATGCATTGCCCTTTTGTTCTTCCACTCTGCTTTTCTTCTATATTCCTTATGTTGCTATTTCTACTTTTTTTTTGTCTTTTTCTGTTAATCTTTGTTTTAATGCATTCTCGTGCTTTTCACGTTCATAAGCCTCGTGCCTATTTTTAAGGTTTCAATGGACCTTAGCACCAACATGACCTAACAACTAATCTTGCTTGTAATGTAGTTATTAACCTTTCATCTGATGTACTGTTGTCCTTGATGAAAAAATGTATAGTTATCTGCATGTTGTTTATTCATTCTCTTATTTTTTATGCTAAAGCTATCTTTTTACCAGATAAATTTGGTTGTAACAGTTTCTTGTGTGCTTTGCTCTAGAATAACAGAGATTCTACAGTGGTATGAGATTAGTGGTAAATTCATGGGATGAAATAAATCAGCTAATCAAACCTATACGGATAAAACAATTCAATCTCTGATCTAATTACTGATTTATTCAGATTTCCTTTTCAATCATATTGTTCTAAATCGTTTATTACTACTAGGTTATGTCACCAGAAAGATTTGCCTTATTTTTGCAATACATTTTAAAGCACCACAACATGTTGGACAAGGTCAGAAGGCAGGTCTACTAAGGATGACAATTACAGATTTTTTATTGGTTAAGTTTGACAAGTTGACTGGTCCAAGACCTGAACTTATTCAAGTGTTACTTAACCAGAGAACATTCCACTACTTTCTCTTGTTTGGTTTGGTGTGTGTATGAGTATTTAACAGTTTATATTTCCTTCTGTAGCCTGATGCATTTCTTTGCTCAGTCAATGATGTGAGAGTTTCCAGTAGAGTTGATCAGAGGCCCCGCAACCTTGAGGTTGGTGCAGAGGTTGGGAGTAATACTTTTCTTACTAGCTATTTCTAGTACCTGAAAAAGAAATCCTTCATTTCACTTCTTAATTGGTTCTATATTCTAGGTAATGACGCCTTTAACACTTGATTTTTTTTGTTTTATTGTCTTTAAAAGTTGATCCTCAAACAGAAGCTAGAAGGCCAGGGGTTGGCATTTCTTCTTGGGTGTGGATCTGGTATGTGAATTCACAGTTCAAAATTTTTTCGTTTTCCTGTCTCTGATAAAAAGTTCTACCTTGACATCTTTGTTATAGTGGTGACTATTCATTTCATGATAGTGTCAAAATGGAACACAACATTGATCAGTAATAACATTGTAAGCCAACATAGAATATCAGACTATGTTTTAAAGCAACCCAAGATGATTGTTTATGACACAAAATAAGTATGAAAATGTAATTCATTGTCAATTTGTCATCTTAGTGATTAAATAGAAGTAGAAAAATAGAAACATATCATAAGATACTGTCAAGTCCTGCCCCATTGATATAAAAAGTTGCATAATCGAGAGAGCAATAACAGCATCATGCAGATTGTTGTTCTTGCAGAGTCTCTGTCTATATTCATTTACTCAATTACTTGAGCAACTACATGTATGCCTACTATTGTAATATGATAACAAAACTATCATTTTGATGACAAGGCTATCTCATTTTAATTGTTTAATGATTTTTTTGATCTTTTTGGCTTTTCTCTTTTGCTAGTAGTGCAGAAAATTCTTGCTCCTGGAGAAGTATTTATAGTTGACGCTGCATGCATTATAGCTATGACAAGCTCTATCAATTTTCAACTGAAGTACTCCAGTCCGATGAGGAGGGTGGTCTTTCGGGTGAGCTCATGAACTTTTCCTACTTCTTGACCTAGATCATACTCGCCGGCATTCTCGGTTTAGGATATCTGCTGAATGAATTGAATGGTGGTGGGTTATTCAGTTAGATATTTAACATATTTGTGATGGGCATGAATTTTATTTTATGTACTTAATGGTTATCTAAGCATGATAGTTTTGCTGGCACCAAACCTCGTCTTCATGGCATATGAAATAGTTACATGATGGTAACATTTAGATCAGTATGTAAGCAATGGGATGTCTCCCAGTACTTTGCAGTTGTACTTTTCACGATGCTGGTATTTGCATTCGACTAATGCTTGATCATATGCATTAGTTGTTACATACTACATTCAAGTTGATGCACTTCACAAACTGTCATCTGCTGAATCTCCCGTCACTGATCTATTTGATTTGACACTGAAATTTCCATCGTGCATTTGCAGGGTGATAACCAATTGATGGCCACTCTCTCAGGTCCTGGAGTCGTGTTTATCCAAAGTTTACCTTTCCGTCGGCTTTCCCAACGTATCGCAAGGTTCGTTCTCTTCGTTCTTTAGTTAGCGTAATTTCTCATATTAAGTTTGCTTTGTGACATGGTTGTTTTCCTGACTGACAGAGCTGCCGCCACTCCAAGCTTGAGGGATAACCCAAAGTTCTTCATGCAGATCGCGCTCTTGTTCTTTCTTGCGTATGTCATGATTGTTTCATCACTGATTTTGACAGATGTCTAGTTCCTCCCCTCCATCTCTCAAAGGTAGTACGATTCTCCTCTCTCTCTCTCTCTCTCTCTCTCTCTCTCTCTTCATTAGATGTAGAGGTTGTTAACTGTAGAATTTGGATGCCAAGGCGCTTTACATTTTACATGAGAAATAGTGACAAGATTCTGATGAATTGTTTTCTACAAGGAAGCCTCGTCAAGGCGTGTGCATATTTATAAAGCTCGCCTTTAGATATGGATACAATAAAATTGGAAATTATGTAGTATCGTAAACTTTTTGTTGATCGTTTCAATTCATATTGCTTTTTGGTCCACCTCTCAGCATCTACAATCTAATATTTCTGTTCAGCTTCTTAACATGGAGGACTTCTCGGCAGTTCTTTTATTCTGATGAAATCCACCTCAGCACGTCGGAGTTTATCTACAACTAGCCGTGACAATTCTTTTCCCTGCCGCCTTCTCCGCCACTGCAGTGTGTCCACCTCCGCTTCCTTCAGCTGAGCCCGTCTCATCTGCCCATGTGTCGACAATGTGCCAACTCCGCCGTCGTCGGTGTTGGTTTTTTGATCGCATGAAACTATCTATACATAGCTCGATCGACTGAGGTCCGACGTTATGAGTCAAGGTCAACCAAGGAGGACCGACGGCGGATGGGGGCAAGACCCGGCGTTGCAGGTGGCCATGTGGACCGATAAGGTCACCACGAGGGAGGCGCTAGAAGCCACGGCGACGTCCATCGGCGACAGCCCGATCGAGCGTTGAGATGCCTCGGCCATTGCGACGGTGGAGGAGTCTATGACCTGAGCCAAGGTCGTCTACCCTAGGGGATTGGCCGACGACAACACCGTGGTGGCACGAGAGGAGCACAAGATCAAGTTTGGCGAAGTCTTCGGGGTGGGTGGGCGTGTAACAACTTTAAGCGATGCACGATCTTTGCACGGCTGCCAACTCTCTGGATGATGAATTTGTACCTTCGGACGATCAATATGTGCGGAACGATGTCATGCGACGCATCCCGAACTTTCCAAAGCGACCATTGTTGGGACGACGCCAGGTCGTGCGACCCCAGATGGCGTAGGAGGGGAGCGACCGTTGTCTCGAATTCTCGGTGATGCATCGGACGTGACGTTGCGTTCCTCCTGAGATTCCGTGCTTGCGTTTATGTGGTCGGAGGTCGTGTGTCCATACGGCGAGATCCATAATATGCTCTATCAATAATGTTCTAGCATCATACATAAAAAGATAAACATTCGCGAGAAATTCAAAACAATACCTCACCACGTTTGAAGCGGATCGAATAGATCCGATACATGCAAGAAGAAACCCGCATCCGCAATCAGCCCTGTGCGAGAGAGAAGACGTCCCACACCACGTCGCCACCGATTAATCGTGCACCGGTCGACGCGCCCACGCCACATCGCCGCCGAGTTATCGTGCACCGCTTCACGTGCCGGCATCTCATGCACCATTTCCTTCCGGTCCCAAAACTCCTCCACGTTTCCGTCCCATGACGTCCCGCCGCGTACCTACGGCTCCACACGTGTCAATAATATACTTGGACGTGCCGACGTTCCCAATCTCATCTCCCCTGTATATAAAGCCACAGCCGGTGAGACCATGCCATCTTCAAACGGGATCGGACACCTCAAGGCGAAATGAGCCAGGAACAACCAAGAAGGCCATACCAAGCACAGGACGCGGGCATAAGGTACGGTGATGTGTTCCCGGTGGGCGGAGACTTGGCCGACCGGCCCGTCGCACCCAGGGACGCCGCCATGATGCAGTCTGCCGAGTCCATGGTCTTCGGCCACACGCCGAAGGGCGGCGCGGCTGCCGTCATGGAGTCGGCCGCCGCACGCAACGAGCAGCGCCGCGCCGTCGGCCACAGCCAGTCCAGCGATATCCCGCGTGACCAGGGGGTGACCGTCACCCAGACCGACATCCCCGGGCAGCCCGGCTATCGTCTCGTTACCGAGTACGTCGCCGGCCAGGTACTGGTACATACAAATCGGTTGATCGTAACTGTATGTATCGTGAGCCTCGATCTCAAGACTCCCCATTTGCTTGGCAACAGACTGTGAGTCAGTATGTGATCAACGAGGGAGCTGGATTGGGTGGTGGCGCCGGCGGCGGATATAACTGGAGCGGCAGTCCTGAAGGCCAAGGAGGTCGAGGAAACCGGGGTGCCGGCGGCCAAGAGTCTGGTGCTGGAAACGCGGCAATGTGGGGCGATAAAGTAACGATCGGGGAGGCACTAGAGGCGACCGCAAAGACAGCCGGTGACAAGCCGGTGGAACCAAGTGATGCAGCTGCCATCCAAGCGGCGGAGTCGGCCGCCACAGGGGTAAATACCGTGCTGACGAATGGTGTCGCCGCTGCGGCGCAGGCGGCGGTCGTCACCAACACCTGGGCCGACCGAGAAGATGACGAGACTAAGCTCGGGGATGTACGGGCGGTAGTATCCATACTCAGTAGTAGTCTGTACAGATCACGTGCCACGTACTGCTAATTCCCGGATTGCTCCATTGACAGGATGCAGCGACGAGGATGCCGGCGGATAAGGAGGCGACCAGGCAGGACGCCGAGAGGGTGGTGGGAGCTGAGATACGGAGCAGCCCAAACCTGGAGATGCGTCCCGGCGGAGTGGCCGCGACAGTGGCGGCAGCAGCCCGGCTTAATGAGCCTAATCGCTGAGGCAGTGATTAGTTCTGTGTCCACCGTACTCTGTGAAGAAGCTGCACGATGGTGTGGTAATACGTACGCCGTCCTGTTGGGTTGTGCTGCCTCCGTTGTGTGAAGTTCTCTTGAACTTTAGGGATTGTTGTTGTATCAGCAATACTTGGTCATAGAAACTTGAGATTTGCGTCGGGAGAACAATGATATATAAGAGAGATTAGCCAATAGAAACTTGAGATTTGGGGATAAAAAGCATACATGCGTAGCTGCAGGTCTTTCTTCAGAAAAATGGAAGCCGAGGTCTGTTCTGCGTCAGTCAAAAGAAATCGAGGAACAGCATCCTGTGATCACACTCAAATCGACGTGCAAAACCAGCAGGGATCCACAAAAATCACCATCAGATCATCTCTTTTGATTGTTAGACCATAACAACAGAGAGCATCGAGCACATTCTTTATTTTGTTCTGGTGGGCGATGCAGCGTATTGGGTAAAAATTCAATGAAATCACAAACATGAAAAGCTTAAGTTGCACTTACATAACTGGGACGAATATTTAATGGCGTTAAAACGACGAACTGGCAAGGCGAGGGATACAACCTATCCGGCCTTAGAGCTCTGGCGCATCAGTTCGGGGTCAGATTCAGCTGGCGAAGCGGCACGACGGGCATTGCTCCTGGTCCAGAAAATCGCATCCCCTTGTGACCGAAGCTTAGCTCCACAATTGTCATCATCGCCCATAACTTGTGTTACTCTCAGAGCTTTCTTCAGAACAGCGAGTACGATGACGACGATTAGCCTTTCTGTGGGCACGCAACCGTCTCCTAGGCGGCACACCACTGTCGTCCGATTGCATCATCTCACTGTTACCATCAGGGTAACCAAACACACAGTCTAAAGGATATGCAGTCATATCTCCAACGTGGCTACCCTGAAACTACGAGAACATGACGACAATGAAATATGTAAATTGCTCATCCAAAGTTCATGCTGCAGGATGTACTTACAGTAGATTGGTTTGGCTGGATATCATGATCGCCACCGTCTTCGATTCTCTGTGTCCCCTGAGAAGCAGTGGTATCTATGTAGAGATTACGTAATCGCCACCTAAAAATAGACTCATCTGGATTCAAGTCGCTGAATACTTGCTCCGGGAAGAAGTGCTTGCTTACAAGCTTCACACTTGACGCCTCATTTGCATGCTTTGCCAATATTCTGCGAACATACAGAAGATTTGGATTGTGCATTTGATCCAAGTAATAGAAATCAATTGAGTTATGATTTTACATGAATCACAGTAAGAGAAGATTCAGATTGTTACTAAAATAAATTAACTTAAAAAGCAGTTTGGTTAAGCTATCACATGCACAAACACTATTACAGGAAGGCAAGATATATCACACCTAAAACATTAGAATAAGAAAGAGCCTACATGTTTGCCAACTCTCTCTGGATCCGGCTTCCTTCAAGCTGCATCATTCGGTCAATGCATGAACTCAAGGACCTGTCAAACCCCCACATCCCCAAAAAAGTGCCAGAACCTGCACAAATTATTTAAATGTTCAACAGAGGAGATAATGAGACAAAAAAAGTATGATTTAAGGAGTCATAGATTGGACATTTGTCCCGAGGGTACTCTAAACAGTGAAATAAAGTCAACAAAATACAAAAAAACAAATTATCACGACTGAAAGTTTACTGGAGAATAATGCAGATATTGCTACAAAATTGATACATAATGTGACTACAACTGAAAAGATGCCATGTTGGACCAATCTGTTCTGATTTCTTAAGACTATTTAGCTAGAAAGTTTTTGATTTTGTAACCAGCTCAGATTCTTTCAGACATAGAATTCTTCGTTGTGCAGTAAATAGATTCCCTGGTTACCAGAAGAAAATGGTTTCATAGACTCACCTAGGGACAAGTTAAACCTCAGTGCTCGTGTAAGTCTCCTAGTTGCTGCACATAGCAAAATATCACTTAGCTTTTGAGTTAAATTGATCTGACATCAAGTGAAAAAATATTAACGATATAGCATAAATGGAAAAAATACAGAAAGCCAAGCGCCAGGGAAGTTATTTGTTACATAAGAATAAACGGTTTTCCAGAAAGCTCAAGAAGTGATTCATATCAACGACAGATACTGCAGTAATATCAGTAGCAAATATCATGTGGCACGGAGAAAAAAAAGGAAAAAAGTCAATAACAAAATTATATAAAAGAACAAAATTTACAAGCATGGTCAGCCAGACCACTTCTATTATGCTAGTGGCAGCAGCCTAGCAGAAAGCAAACAAGAAAATGAAGAGATCGCATTAAAACAGGGAATGTAAAATACCACATGAAAGAATACTGTAGACGGCTCCAGATCACAATCACACCATCTAGAATTTATAGTAGTAAGTTCCTAATGTGATTATAAATTTTAATCAAAATTGGATTGCACCTAATCATAGATTCAAAGCTAACTGCAGAAGCTCCCTCCCTTTTACTTGGATAGATAGCTTTTCTTTTCCATTTTTCATGTGATCTCTTTATTCATATAACAAACTATTTACTAACTTATATTGAAGTTTTATGATATTCTCCAAATTATCCATTATCACAGTTAATTCCATTAGGAAAAGAACATGGTAACTAAATACATTAACACCAATGAAACATTATCATCCACTTGAGCATAACTCTAGACATCCAAATGGAGTTTAAAATATTCAAGGGCCACCCTATATATAGGAGGAAAACCAACTCAGCAAATCTCTCTCCATCTTCTATACAATCTTGCAACATACTTCATGTTTTTTCCTACAGAAAAAGAAATTAAACAATAAAGATAGGGGATTTGGATTAAAAAAAGACAGATGAATGAAAAGGAAGATGAAGAAAATACATATGCACATTTCAATACACATACATATGCACATTTCAAGAGATGATGAAGATGATGAAAATACATATGCCTATGAAAATACATAGGCACGTACCAAGGAAGAGAAAGCAAGAGGAATAATGTTATGCCTGAAGGAAAAGAGGAAGAAGAAAGGACTAAGTTAATTACAGCGGTGGGAGACTGTTTACTTCAGACATGGATTGAAGACTGCTTGCTTGCTTGCTACTTCCTTCTGGTCAGAAAACAAACAACATAATGCAGTTTTCTTGGGCTGAAGATAGGGCTGTCATCTATCTATCAGTCATAAGTTAGGTTTTTGCAAATATTTAACATGTCAAACTATATGTGGAATATGTCCTTTGTCTGATGCTTAGAGATCTGATGCCTTTAATGTCTACAAGTGAGCAACCAACTAGACCAGCACTTCTATTTTGTTTCCTGTGGCTCAAACTCTCACTACTTGGCCTTTATCAATTAATAATGGACCAAAAGCAACATTAACTACAGAAAGTATTTATGTGATATTTCCAAATTTACATTCTCTGATTTGACATTTGATGTCCACATAGAATAATTTATCACAAGAGATTAGAACTACATCTAGCACCAGAAACTTCAAGGTCGATTATGCATTTCTAATGTATCTTAAGCAGCTTGTACTTAGTTCAATGTTTTTTGGTCAACACTCAATTCTTGCTTCATCTTGATAGGATAAGTACATCAATAGTGCAGCCTGAATTTATCTGTTGGCTAGCCTTTGATGTTTGAGTTCACAGCTATATCAAATAATCAAACTATCTCTAGTTCACTTCCACTTGCTTTTATTTTAAATCCTGCAATAGTCTACTGAAATGCTTGACCAAGAATGATCATCCCATAAGCAAAAAGTGCACTACCTCCAGCAACATCATCTTGCGAAAAAACTCGAATAACACCTATGTGTACAATCATCAAGTCTCACAAAGTCGAACTCGTGTTATAGCTAGCATTATAACAAAGGATTTGTCGTACCACGATATACCGCCCAGTACGGGTGGTACATACCGATTTGATAGCGGACCGATATATGGACCACCCTGTAATGGGTGGTATATACTAAAAGGTGCTGTATCTTTCGATACAAGCCTGTACCGCTTGGTAAAGATCAAAATCTGACCATTACCGATTGGTACATCCGACCGTTATGACCGGTACCAATCGATAACGGTTGGCTCAGATCTGACCCTTTCCAATTGTCAGTTCCATTTGAAAGGGTTTTTAAACCCTTTTCTCCCTCTCTTTCATCCAATTTCACTCTCTTACACTTTTATACTCTCTTAATCTCTTTCTCACTCACTTCTTTCTCTCATTCTCACATTTACACTCTTTTTAAACCTTAGAAAGTTTGTGATTTGTAAATTGGATCAAACTCAAGAGGCTAATTAGGGAGGATTAACACCTAAGTTAGATGAAGAACTCTTTAATCGAAGATATGTAGATAACTTCTCAATCGCATTCAGCAACTCGCTCTGTCTAGAGATATGACAGCGACATTAACAACAATGCCTCGACCAATGATGGCGATGATGCCAGGGAGTCGCTGGTCCCATCTACAAAGTTTAAGGATGGTGCATGGATCGAGGAGCAATATTTTTTACATGTCACTCAAGATTCAGATCATGGAGCTCGACGTGATGGTTATTCTTCTCTGAGCAGTGGTGATAGTTGGTCATTCTTCTCCGAGCAATAGTACGATGATTGGTCTTATGATATGGAGTAACAAATCAATAACAAAAGTAAAAGTTCTAAAATTCTCTATGCTTCACACTAATACATGTCACAATCATACTTACCTCATGAGTCGCCTCGACCACGTGTGGTTCACGACGATCAAACTATGAACATCACTACACTGATGCACCAATGGCATATGGTGTATCAATATAATATATCATGGGATCAATTTCAAGATTGGATCAAACAAACATATCAAATTAATATATAGTTGCATAGGATCGAGGACCCCGATCTACTACTCGTGGAGTCCCGTCGTTCTTTTTGGTGGTATAACTAGGTATATTCATCGATTGATTGCTTGATTCATTTAAATCTTAAAGTTTAAATTGTTTAACAAATAATTTAACAATTCAAATCATTTCTTTGTAGATAATACAATATCAACAGAATGATAGTCCAAAACGTATCACAAAGCTCTTCCCAAAACCCGAAAAAGATTATTTTTCTTAAATATATACTAAATTTATATTTATTTTTAACTAAAAAACCCTAATCTATTTTTTTATGTTTAAAAAAATTTTGAAGCTATTTTCGATCATTTTTCCATGGCGATATGTATCATTGTACCAACATATTAATACATCGGTACGGAGTGGTATGTACCGTAGACCAGTACATCGGTTCGGACCGATAAGATGAACCTTGCTATAACATTCCTCCAACTATCCTTGAATCAATCCGACTGAGTTTCTAAAGCAAGATTTAAAATCTCGTTTAATACCAATTTATATCAATATTACCAAAAAAAAATGAAAATGAATATTTACTAGTACTAAGCAATATGGGGGCATCAATTCTGAATCAGACTGGTAAGAAACCGATTAGTAGTTCACGGTGGTTTAGTTCTTGCTCAAACCAGTAAATACAAAGATTAGTTCAATCGCATTTCATACCTTCTTCATAAAAAAATTTATGCAACTCAAAAGCACAATAGGCACAGAGTCTCCATTCTCCGGAGGAAACCCTACGTGAGTCAACAGCACAAGAAGCACATAATCTAGACGACAATTTTCACTATATAAATTCACCCTAATGGCGTCATTTTTTCCACAGATAGAAAAGTGGCCGGATAACTCGAACAAAAGAATTACATATCAATGCTTGTAATGCAGCCAACAACGTTACGGAAAAGCATAAGAAACAGAATAATAGGGGCTCAAGCAAATGACGCCGTACCAGTCCATACAGCGGCTGATGAAACCAAGAACCCGACGGTGAAATCGCGGATTGACTTCGACTTGCAGGTCTGGAGGACCAGCTCCTCTGACGGCGTTATCTTCTCCTGCAGTAACCGAATCACTAAATGAAATCAATCGTAAACTTCTAGGTATTAGGCGCTCAACGATCCATCCAAATCGAGACACCGCAAGGAGCGATCGATCGATCAAGGACATCCCGTAGAGTAGGAACCCCAGTTTTAGCCGGAGGTGACGGGCATTTGGGAGGGGATGATCGACAAATCTATCATGGACATTCCCTCATAGTCGAACCCTAGTTTTGGAAGGGACATTTGGGAAAGAATGATCAATCCATCGATCAAGACCTATGTAAGATTGATACCCTAACTTTAGCGAGAGGGCACATCGATCGATCGATGGATCGATCAAGAACACCCCAGGAGATTGAAACACTAGTTTTAGGAAGGATATTTGGAAAGGAATGATCAATCCATCGATCAAGAACATCAGTAGGTATTATATTTGGGAAGGAATGATCAATCCACAGATCAAGAACATCAAGTAATACCCTAACTTTGGAGAGAGGACATACTGATCGATCAGGACTGATCGATCAAGAACATCCGAAGGATTGGATGCCTAGCTTTAGAAAGAGACACGCTCACCCTCTCGGATTTGGACCGCAGGACTTCCTCCAGCTCGACCAGCACGGTTCTCATCGCTTCTCGCCTCCAACCCTCGCGGCCACCGGTTTCCTCTTTCCTTACTTTATATGTGCGATGAATCCAAACCACACTAAGAAGAAAAGAAGAAGAAGAAGGTGGTTTTAGTTCGCATTAGGGTTCGCTTATTCCCACCGGATGGTGGGTCGACCACGTAGGTTCGATGCGGTCCAATAAAGGCCTAATCCACGACGGTCCATTTAGCTTCAACGTTTTCGGACCGTACGGCCCACTTTCTCACCCTGTGGGACCACACTATCGTGGAGCTGCAGCCAATCAAAAACACTCGAAGTGGCTCCACCGCGCGAGCGTAGAAATATCTCGACCTAGCGTGAGTTTTCCAATCAGAAACAGTTTCCTGCCCGCTTCCTATATAAGTTACCTTGGCGGGTCCCGCAAAGAGACTGTGTTGTTCCAGCATCTCGCCTTCTGCGCCTTGCCGTCTGGTCGAAGGAAGGTAGGGTAAGGAGTCGGCGTATCAGTAATCAATCCCCCTTTTGCGGTCATCACGGAATTGGGGAAGTGGCAGAATGTAATTTAAAACAGTGAAGTTTCTTGGACATTTATGTTAACCTGCTCCAATAGCCGATTGTGTCAATGTGCACGCGAGTTCATATGCGGTCTTACCGTTCATCAATCATTATTCGTGATGTGTGGTTCACGATGCTCCTTTATGCAAAATGGACGGTAGAAAAGTAATTTGCATAGAATTTTCATATGCGAACATATGCACACGTCTGGCTTCCCTGAGATGGGTCGGTGCGCTCTTAAATCCAAATTGGAGTTTCATTTCACATCCGGGGTTGGTTCTCGGTCGGTCCAAAGCTCCTCGCCTAGGGAAGAAGAAATCAAGCTGCAAACTTCTGCTTCATTTCCCCGGATTTCTGTACTAGATCCCTTTCATCTCCCCTTGATCGTTACCCCTCACGGTTCCGATCGTGATCGTGGTTTTCCTGGAGATCTTGGTGCCTCCGGTGTTTCTCCGCTGGATAAATACGGGTCTTCGTTCGTGACGGGTCAAACCCAAAGACATCAAGCAGATTCCTGTTCTGTCGATGAAAAGGTGCGATGGATTCTGCTGTTTGTCGATTTACTTGCTGTTTTCTAGTGATCTGATGTTTTTGTTGCTGGATCTCTGGTTCCAGGGTTCGTTTTGTTCGGATCTACCGGCGAGGGTGAAGAAAAAAAAAGAAAGGAAGGATTTTGATTGTGTTCTGGTGGCTGGGTTGGGCGATTTATTTTGGTTTAAGGTCCTCCGTGTTTCGACGGACGAGAATCTGGGATTTACTGAGGCTTTCCGACGTTTGGATCGTAGAATCTCGAGCTTACACGGTATAGTAATCGTATTATTAGTGTTTGATGATGTTTTGGAACGATATGTACTTTATTTTCATGTGGATTGGAGCTATTTTACCTTTGATTTTTACCTGCTCTTCACTTATTGTTAGGTTTTTGCGAAAGATTCATATTGAAGTGACCAGTTCTGGTTGCCAAAGCATCACCGTCTGGGTATGGAGACACTAGTTGCGGTTGCGCATCACCGGAACCAATATTGCAGCAGGAACAAGTCCCGGATAACCGATCATTTTGGTTCCTCGCCCTCAAAAGGCTTCAGAGTGATCAGTTGCCGGACCTTTCAGTCCGGTGGGGCTATTTTGCAGTCGCCTCCCTCTGAAGTTTTCTCATTTAATAGTCATCTGGAACGCAAATCTTCGGGCTCTTACTCTGAACCGCCCAAAAGAAGTAGGAGAAGCAAACCCATCCCCATAAACCCCCCACCTACTCCAAAAGGTGCCACCTTTACCGTTGATCTCTCTTACTGTGAGCTTTGGGCAGGACCAGCCTACTCAAATTCACCTCCTCCCAGTTCTTTGCCAATTCCAAAATTTTCCCTGCGTCAAAAGCGCAGTGTGTCTCTTGAAATCCCAGTTCCAAAATCTGATATTACTCTCCAACCTATGTCAAAATCAGCCCCCTCTTCTCCTACCAGAGAGTCTACTTCTCCTGTCAACGACTTTCTTCTTAACAATGCCACTGCTACGGAGAATTTGAGACGAATTCTCCACTTGGATATCATTGATGACTAAAGGAAACGGAGGACTTAGAGTTTTGTATATACATATCTGCTGTTTTAACCTGTATAGGTGGTAACAATTAACTTATGGGTAGCTTGTGGCTTTGCATGTTAACTGAATATGGTGGTACCTGCCATCGTCTTCATTGTCTCTGAAATTTAGGTAGTTGATCTGTTGTTCGGAGTCGGATGTCAGTAGCAAAGTTCTTTTTCTATTCTGTCTGGTCCTCCTTTTAGGTGTTCTGTACATCTTATAGGTTCAGTAATTGTTTCTAGGTGTGTCTTTAGGCTATCTGCATCTCTCATTTCTGTTCTAGCAAAACTGACTTTCTGTAATCATGGCCAACTTCTCTGTTAATCTAGGTTTTCTTGTTTATCTTGCACCCCCTTCTTGACCATCACTCTTGGCCTAACTTCTGATGCAATGTTATCAAAGTTCCCCTTGCCACTTCTTCTGGTTTTTTGGATGAAGAGGCTGGACAGGCTGGAACTGCGATCTCTACCCTTATGCTGTATCTACTCTATATGTCATAGATGATGGTTGTCATTTTCCAAGTTATTTGTTTGTCTAAATTACGTTATAGCTTGTCTCTTCAGACTTGTGGTAGAAGTGTCTTAGGTAGTGTTGTTTAGCTTCGACGATAGATTGTCATCCATGTCGGTTGTTTGTTAGCTTTGGTTTGTGATGCATGACATCAACGGGAGTGCCTCAATGCTGTGCAAAGGAAGACTGGAACTGCAACCACGTTAAGGTACCATCCGGTATATCATCTTCTTTAACTTGCCTGTACTTAGTAACTTGTGGCATGCCGTTATCGTCTTCTTGATTCTTCCTTTATAGGTGACTGAAGAGTAGAAGCTTGAATAGGCCTGTTTCTTCAGCAGGATCAGAAATGGTTAAGCAAGCATATCAGCGGTTGTTGCTGGTTTTCAATTTACATGATACCTTGTATTATATTGTTGAGCTAGTCCATATGCACATTGTTGGTGATCATGTTAGCTTTTATGTATTTATCTAGTTGTAATGTTGTGTTGTTGAGGACCAACTTTCTCCAACTAAGGCTTTGGCCTCTGGATCCATAGGTTTGACTTTGAGTACTTGTTGAATGTAGTATTTCGTATTTTACTAGCTGTACTTGTTGAATGGCAAGGTAATTATTGACAGATATATATTTGAAGGTCGTCAAAGTAATGATTGTTCATGGATTCGATTGTTTTTTCTTTCTCTCACTCTTTCTGATTCACAGATACGTTATTGGATGTTTTCTTGCTGATTCAAATGTGGTTTCTCTGAGTTGATGAGATCAGAAAGTCATGAAGATGTTCCGAATGTGTGATTCCTCCATGTCAGTTTTCTGAAACCTTTCCATCATTGAGCTGATTTCCGTCTGAAACAATATACAGTTTGTTTGTTCGAGAATTAAATACAAATCTTGATCTGCCCACTTTTCTTCGGTAAAGAATTTCTAGCATAAAAGTAAATGATATATATACTTTGACGTTTATGGTTAGGAGAATTAGGAGAAAAATATGACATGAATAAGCTTTAAATTTTCTAGCCTGAGAGTACTCCATGTTATGGCTTGTGGCACTCGTGAGTTGACAATTTGCAGTTGATTAATTTGCATTTCCTGATGTTTTGATTTATCTATCCTCGAGGAATATTTCTTACGTACGACAAGTCATATTTGACTTTGACGAAAAATTGACATCTTGTAGCTGAAATGTTCATTGGATTCAACTGTTAATCCATCACAGAAAATGTGGAATGCATTCTTTTATATATACATGATATTTATATTGTAACCCTCCATCAATTAAGTGCATAGCGGTCGACATTTTCCTCGGCAGAAATTAATAGTCTAATTTGTTTTCTTTTCTGGATTTTAAAAAATAACGAAATTGTTTAGCAACATTAAAATATATTTAGAAAATCGAGCATTTTTGCTGGCGGACATGAATTGGGATTGGAATTGGATCTAATATACAGAAGAGGATTCGAAGTTCTCCACTACTAATTGATTCGCCGGCTTCAAGAACTCTAAAACCATCTTTCGACCATCTCACGCCATCGATGATTGCAGTAATTAGAGGACGAAGGGGAGAAGCAAAGCGGTCTCTCGACTCGTAAGTTTCCTTTTCCCCTTTCGATGATCCTCCAAATGTATACTATTTATTTCGTCTGTCCTAGATTGGTTCTGTGAGCGGTTCCTTGATGTCTATGAGATGTTAGATCTCCGAGAATGGGTATTTCTAATTTTGCCGTGGCAAATTTTAGGGAAGTGACAAGACTTTTAGGCTCACTATCCGTGATTGAATGATTTCGAGATGAAAACTTGACTTCTTCTCGAGTCTTCTAGGGTTTAATGTGATGTTGTGGACCGGAAAGTGAGGTGCATTTCTGTGGCATCATCATGCTGAAGGGAGGATCTCGTAGAACAATGCATTAGTGTACGCTGGAAGACGAATGGATTTGGTAGCAGGGAACTCTTCCTTGTTTCATTAGGTTCAGTTAGTTCGGGGCAGTAGAAACTAAAGCAGCAAGTTTTCTTGAGGGTCTTAAAGTCCTCATATTGGTGGAATTCAGTTGGCCACTCATTTTTGTACCTTTTGAGCCCTAAAGGATGATCTTTTATGCGTTACTGGCCAATGGATTTCTAGTTTTAATGTAAATTGATCGAGGCGAGTGGATAGTGACAAGTCTAATGGCTTTTTGCTGAGTTGAAATGCCTGTCTCCCTCATGCAATGTTGCAATGATCACCTTCTATCTGTTGGTTGTCAACAACAAGATAAAAGGGATTCGCATCAAGCCTAAAAGTTGATTCTAGGATTAGAAAAGTGTGTTCATTGTATTACAGAACAACCCTCTGACTTTAGTTCTTAATCTAATGATTGCATTTAGCCATTTGTACTATGTCACCATAGCTGGCGATGTTCTGCTTTGGTGATGGCTATCGCAATTGTGGGGCCATTACTGATTCCACCTTCCATTTCCTTCCATGCATAATTGAACCCATGGGCAGAACTTAATCATTGTTTGATCCCATTATACGCATAATATTACATGAAACTAAAAAATAATAATTATTAAGCTTGAGCATCAGAAAAGCGATATCGAAAAAGTGTTGCAATCTTGGGGGCAGGATGATATTAGATGTTGTAATTGTTGACTCTGGAGTAGTCTTGTGGTTCCACATTAATAAAATTTTGATGACCTTAGGCGTGTAGTAATCTTAACATGCGAGTTAGATCTAAACTTGGTTAATCATTTCAGGTGAGCTTTGAGTGACGAACTGTTTTTTTTTTTTTTTTCCGCAGAGTAAGCTAAAGCTTTTGAATTGGTTTAACACCTTGTCTCAGATTCGTTTGCCTCAAAATGAAGTACATATCTTGATGGGCTAATTGATCGCATCTTTACACTTAGAATACTGGGAAAAACAATACCTGAGCAGGCTTGAATTGTATCCTCCCAATATTCTTCTTTCTGAGCTACAGTTTGGCCCTAGGAATTTTTATGCATATAAAGTTTTGGCCATTCTCTGAGACATTTAAGACTGAAATGATCTCAAATATGTTCCTGTCATCCTAGCTTAAACTGGTGACTGATAGTAAAGGCTTATGCAACATGAAATGCCACATATTTAAATTTTAGAGTTCTCCTTGCTGAGGCCAGCAGTACTCAGACATCTCATGTTCTTTGATATGTCAAAAGCAGTCGTGGATTGTGCATAAAAATTGCTCTGTGCTTTCGATGAACACGACTTCCTAAAATGTGCAGCCTCTCTATTTTTCCTTTCGTTCATCCATTTGCTGGACCTTGCATATACATAAAATCTTATCAACATAGAGTTAGCTTTATTGTTGATAATGGAACATATTGATAGGAAAGGACTTTGGTGGTGTCATGAATCAGCTCTGAGGTTCCACCATTGCCACTAGTGGCATCACTTCGCAAAATGAGGAGATGGTGAGTGCCTTGGAGTCTTCTATTTCCTACAGTAAGCATGGAATCTAGTTGAAGCCTAAAGGTTTGTCAAGACTATAGCCAATGATGGATCATGATTCAGAGATGGGCATGAGTGATTCCTAGGTCCCTATGTGCAATTCTGAAAGAGACATTCATTTTGGCAGTGTAGAAGAAGGTCCTCTGGACCAGTTAGGACAAGACATGGAATAATTGAAGGAACTGGGCCGATGAGCGACCTCACATCATCCATCATGGTCTAAATGGCGATGAGAGCTGCTGTGTGGTCGTGTAGGATAAAGCTAAAGAGTTTATGGAGTAGTTTGGACGTGACAGAAATAGAGCGAAGGGGAGGATTATGATGAAGTTGATTTGTATCTTGGGGGGTGTCACTATTGGCTTTTTGAGAAGGGAATTAAAGTCATCACTGAGGAAAAAGAGAGCATGGTTGAATCCACCCAACTAACGATAAAGGACATGGAGGAATTGGCTCTGTTCCAAGGAAATGATCACCTTGCCTTTAGTGAATCCTCCTGGTGGTAATTTCCATCAGGAGGTAGTAAGAGAATGTGATGCATATACACTACTGACCAATGTCGTGGTGTTCTGCATGTTCTGAGTCTCTCATTTTTATTATAATACTTGGTTTATCGAGCCACCAACCAACTTCTACTTTGTATAGCCTACTTGCAAGAAGCGAACAAAAAGTAAGAGGCAGCAACTGGTGGAAGTTTAACCTTGAGACCTTTCACACGAACAGGGTTTCATGCCCACGCGACAATGGTTACATAGCTTGCCAAATGTTCATTTTTTATTACTAATAGAAGTGTTATTTTGTGTGAATTTTGATCTTTACATTTCTTCGGTGGAACGATTATGATGTTTGTCCGTTTTCTCGTTGCAGGTTCCTTCCTCTTTTTTATGAGCAGGCGTTGTTTGGTGTTGCACGACTTAAATAAATCAGGTAAATCCATGAGAATTGCTATTATTAGATTAACTTTTGAAGTCACCATAATTTAGAATCTTTATTACAAAGCACCTGTTTTACTGTCATTACACATCTAATTGTGTGGTTAGTAATTTTCTCATGAGATTCTGAGTATAGATGTTGCTCTTCAAAACACAAAAAACAAAAAACAAAAAAGGTTGAAGGATGTTTAATTGAAGTTTCTTTCTTTACAGCTGCTACATTTTTGAAATAACAAATAATGCATGTTTATTAGGATCCCCCTAAACAAGCATAAAAGTCCAAGCAGTCCGTATCTATAGATGTCACTAGACCTCCATGAAGCCATAGAGACAGTGAGGTTACGTAGACTAAGCATTTGACTCAAGACACGACGGAGTCAAAGATGACACCAATGTGGGAATTATGTGCCAATATAGTGATACACGTTCAAAGCTAGACCTCCATGGAGCTCTTGATGGCTCAGCTATAGATGTCATGAGAAATGGACAATGATCTCGGCCTGCCTTCCATCACAAGTATCATAGACCAGCCCTTTCTCTTGAACCAAGGTTATATAGACTGCTTGTTTTAATTGGCCTACATGCACATGCACATGCCCATCATATGTACCATCATGTCTGGTGTGCCCCTCGTCTTGATTTGACCCTAATTAGGAATCATCCTTTTTAGCTTTCTATGGCGGAAAAATAATCGGTACTAGAAAATTCTCATCGAATATTTGGTGCGTAGTTTAATATAATTTTAAAAACTTATTTCTGTCCGTAGAAATAATTTAATTATTTTCAATTCGTCATGCGTAATTGATTGATTTCATGATCGAGTTTGTATCGTAGAATTAATTTTTTAGGATTTATTTTAAGCTTTTTTTTTTTCTCTTTAGCTCCAGGGATTGGAGTGACACGTGTGTCGAAGTCGGGTTGGGAGGGGTAAGAGCGTAAACTTGTCCGCTAAACGACGAAGGGCGCCTCGGGAGGGTAAAAGCTGAGAGGATAGCACGGGTGGGACCCGCCGTTCCGGATCATAAGAGCACCCGAAGGGAATTTATAGTACGGGTGGGCCCACTCAGACATGGGTGAAAATATTCGAAGAGTAGAAGGGTAGATCTGTCCGAGGAAAAACTAGAAGCCCGCAGCGGGGTTCGTGCGCATCTACGACGGAGTCCGTGAAAGTTCACGGGACGTGACTCTGCCCGCTAGCCGAGCCGAGCCGAGCCGGATGTTGACTGTTGCGGCTCCTTTACTCTCACCTACGTCCCATACACGGATTGACCACCCCGATTTGGCCCCGAAGACGGGCACGTGTCACGTCCACGATTCCTGTCTTAGGTCCGAACACTAGTTCTAGTTCTAGTTCTAGTTCAAGCATCCACTCATCATCCGGCTTCTGAGCCGAGCCGAGCTCCAGTTTCCCTCGACTCGGTGGCCCGTCACCCAACTGAGTTCCGTACTGCTGCGGGAATAAATCGTTGCGTGTCGTCGCTCGTCTTTCCATCCGTCACGGAACCACTGCCCATTCGTAGTTGGAAGTGGAGAGTTATCCCTTTTTTTTCCAATTAAAAATGTATTTTTTATATATCGGTCGTTTATTATGTTTTGTTTTGTGAAAGCAGTTAATATGACAGTTACTTGACAAAAGAAAATTCATAACAAAATAAAAAAGATCTTTGTATCTGCAATAGTAAAGAGCTCTGTGGTATCGATGGGTTAAGTTCACCGTGGCGTGATTGGATGCTGGTAATCATGCAGCTTCTCTTTTATAACCGGCCGTATCGAAAGGAAAGGCCACTTTGAAGGAAACAACCAAAAAGGAGACCGCTGTCCCTCCCTCCCCTGCTCACTGGTTTGCCCTTTAAATCAGCTGCGCTTGCTCGTCCATCCCCTGCGAGCGCAGTTGAATTCGGGAGGAAGGAAGGAGAAAGGAGCCATCTTGGTAGATTTTTAAGCGTCTTTTGTAGTTTATTAGATCTGTCGTCATCTTTCCATACAACTAGAGAGTGGTTGTGGGTTCTTGGAGAAGAATCTGGTGTGTTTGGGCATGAAAGATGAGAACTTTAGGCTGATGTTCGACCCTTTTTTAACGAAGAAACAAAAAGAATCTGTCTCTTTGCTTCAATGGTTACATATATTTTTGTCTTGGAGAATCAGGTTTTCTGCAAGTTTATTTCCAGCAGCCTTCGGAGTTGTCTTGGCGGACAGATCGGATACTTGTTTCTGATCTGAAGTTTAGTATTTGATTCGTCCAAGGATATCTATCATAACACAGCTGAAGAAGGAGTCTTTTGAGGCACCCTCATACCTCTTCGCTCGGTTGCTGTTCCCTCTGATGACACCGGACCGGATCGGTAAGTTCATGGTTCTATTATTTCTTGATTTTTAATGTACTAGTTTCGATTCATCTTTTGAGCATAGAAGGTGTGCTTTTCTGTGTGTAGCAATCTAGTTTTCTTTTTTGTTCGTTCGTGTGTGGAGATGTGTTGGTAATGTAGTTCATCACCTGTCCCATCGCAGTTGCAATTCTATGTTTCTGAGAACAAAGATTCAGGATATTATGCTGAGGAAGAGGTCGAGAGCAGTCGGCAGCAAGCAAGGCATTATGTCTGACATCCCCTCGCTCCCATCTCCCGTTGCTGCCTCTCTCTTCACCTCTCCAAGGCTCTACTCCCCAAAAAACATAGCAGACCCCGAAGCAGCTGTGAGCCCAACTTCCATACTGGAAACCAAGCCCTTCTCTGTCATTAGGAACCCCTTCTTCTCTAATGGAAACAAACACCTTCCTCAGGAGGATGTGGAGTCGGGAGCCACTGGACTTGGCCTTCTTGATGCTCTCACCAATGACGACTCTTTTAGCAGTACTTCCAGGCCAGAGAAGAGGATGGTGGTGTTTGGGTCTCAGCTTAAGATTCAAATACCTCCTCCTCCTCCTCCTCCTACTTCTCAGTCCAGCTCAATTTCGCCTATGCGCTCCTCCGGCGAGTCCCTCCACTCACCTACAGAGTTCGGCATCAAAACTAGGAACTCGCAGTTGGCTTTGCTCCCTGGTATGCACAGTTCTCCTCCTCGGTTCTTCACCGGGCGCCTTCCACCGCCGGAGATGGAGCTGTCGGAGGACTACACTCGCGTGATCTTGCATGGGCCAAATCCGAGGACGACTCATATCTTCGATAACTGCATCATTGAGAGCTGCACTAATGGATTTGCCACTCCAATGAGTGAGCGCAGGTCTTCTAGTGATCGTCCGGGATATGCCGTGGATGATTTCTTGAGCTTTTGCTATGGCTGCAAGAAGAAATTTGGCTCAGGGGAGGATATTTACATGTACAGGTGAGCTCGTCTTGATTCATATAGTCCTTTGCACGCTGCTGCTAATTATAGTTTGCTGTCTTCGACCTATCTTTGAATCTCTAGTCAAGCATGTTTTACCACATAATTGTCTCATTTAAGGAAACCATGAGGATTCTGCTTCATGTTCCCTATAGTTCCATATGAATTGTTGCATTTACTGTGGTTACGCTTTAAATCCCTTAACATGTAATTTAGATTCTTATTGTAGAGGTTATGCACTTGCAGCTCCTCGTATGCATGATAGAAAATACTGTTCCTTTTTGTCGCCTGACTTCTATTAGGAGGTTTTCCCCTGATGATCCTTATGCCATGGAATCATTTTAGAGTTCCGAGTTCTTGAGGAGACATTGCCCACCAATCAAAGATTATGTTTCTTTAGGCCTCTGTGACTGCAAATTGTCCTATAATATTCACTGAATGTGCCATCATCAAGTTCTATGTTGTTTCTACTTGTAATTCTTTGATGTCACATTAATCTTCACTGAATTGTCCTATAAGTTTTTTTTTATCCTCAAAGCACCCTTTGGAACTCATCTTAGAGAACAAAACTGCATAACATGTGTTTCATCACCCTTGAAGTTTTCGATTCGTTTCGTTCTTGATTTGTATGTTGAATTGCTCATCTTTCTATCCGTATGTATCTACGATACGATATGATTTCGACTAATTGTAGTTCCTTCTCATATAAAAAGATCTGATTCCTAGTCACCTGTTAGTATACCATGTTAAAAGCAACACATGGCGTAATTTTCTTGTGAAAGACGTAAGATTTATTCTCTTTTCCCTTTCAGAGGAGATAAAGCATTCTGTAGCCATGAATGTCGCCACCACGAGATGCTGCTTGATGAGGGAAAGGACAAGTGCTGAAAGAAATCCATTAAGCAGACAGAAACGTTTAATGGATCGACTGCAAGTGGCTTAGGAACATATCATTATGTATTTACTGTTAGTAGTCGCTTTCTCTTTCTCTTTTTTCCCTTTGTAGAGGAAGCCGGTGAGGTAAGTATTTTTGTAGAGTTGATTTCTGAGACTGCTGTTGCACTTTTCCTCTGGCTGTTGTCTCATCGATGCTTATTTGATGTTGTTCGGTGCAAAGCTATATTCCTGGCAATCAGTAGTCAAACTGGTATGATCTGTATCATCATCCCACATCATAAGAAAAAATGGATAACCTGATCTGATCTAAGTGGGTTGACCACCCAATTTGGTTCAAGTTTGATCCGTGTATGCTTGATATGGTGCCGTGCCGATGTGGTGATAAGGCCGAAGTTATCTTTCCTGCACCAAAAAATTGTCGAGTTAGGCTCCAAAAATAGGTTTAAAAAGTGATTAAATGAAAAAGAATGAGTGGCCTCTCTAAAAGTCATTTATGTATTTATTTTTTATAGTCGATCCTTCTCTACCTTTGTTAGAAAAATATTTTCCATTTGAACATTTCTATATGATTGGGGATTAGAACCAAGTAATGGATAATGAGCTGGTTTTGCTCATTGGATCTGCTCAACCATAGAAACAATTGTATAAATGATGTGCATATGGCCTACAGAAGAACAATACATGATGGGCACAGAAAAAAGGAAATCAAGAGCAGCTTCAGGCAAGCTGAAGCTGTAATCGTTGCACTCATATACCAGACTAAATTTCTCACAGCTACCAGTCCATCTAAAAGCTTGAGCCTTTAGATGATATAAAGATCTGCTGATCTATTTTCTTAACATATGGAACAAAACCAAGAGAAGTTATGATGCACATAGTTTCACTTATTATGGAAATTGCACATGACAATTTTCAAATTTGAAATTTTCTCTACGATGTTAAGTTTGACAAGAAAGAAGAGAAAGAGACTTGTGGACTTGCCCAACTTTTAGTTCCACCCATCAGACCATTCGTTTTCTTTCTCTGCAAGTCGAGGTTTGTACGCCGCCTCGTCACTCCATCCATGACTTCCTGAGGCTAATGAATTACTGTTTTCTTCAGGCTCATCACCCCGACCAAAGTTGCTTGAGTGCACGTTTTGGTTGCTTTCACTTTTAGAGTAGGGTTCCGAAGCATCATCATCTTCCCACCCGGTCGCCTCTATGACGATATCACCCCATTTAACCACATCTGTGCTTGTTTTTAAGCCACTGTCATTCCACTCAACATTGTTCTGGTACTCACTGGGCATATCACTCCGACCATCTTCATGTTGAACATTTTGTTCATAATTGTATTCGGTAGACTCATCATTAGTATAGTCATCCCTTTCAGGTGAAGGAAGAGGACATCCTATGTTAGAACCATTATCTGCACAGTGCCTGAGAAGCTTATTCCAATGGTGATCCTGCAGAGTTACAGATGATGGTGGGTATCAAGATATCACAGACTTGTATACATACTGCAAGAGAGTCTTACACCTCTCCACGCACAAGGACTTTGTATAAGTAGAGCTTGATAAGCAATCAGCATATGATTATGACCATAATAAAAGATCAAGTTATGTTAAATTGATCCAATGTCCATCTTCGACTAATAGGATTACTTCATTGACCCATTCTGAAAGAATTCCCATCTCCAAGTATCTTTTCATTTAATTTTATGATATTTTCCTTCAAATTATATCCTTTTATACTTTTTATAGAGTGATTCTATGTAAGTCGAAGGTCTAACTTTATCAGGCAAATATTTCACCAATTTTATCGAGGATACAATGGTAGAAATTGGAAAAGAAAAAAGAAGCGAAAAAGATAACAAAATGAAAGGCATCAGTCCATGTATATATTCCATGGAATAACTCAAAACTGACAACAATACATGTTGCCTTAATAGCAATGGAGCCTAACCAACACAGAAGCATGCACATGAATCAGAAGATTGATGAGGTAGATGATTGATTATGCAAGAAATTTTCAATAATAAGAGAGTTTCTTAAAATTATTTTAATGGAAATTTCTTGCATACCCTTGGCAAGGGGAGTATTTCTGGTAAATATCCTATATATCTGTGTAAATTCTGTTGATGTGTAAAGATGATTTTATGAAAAGACTATTAGTTGCGCATTTAAGTGACTCACTATACGAAAATTCATATGGTCCCAATCATTTCTATCCAAAATATTGATCTGACATGGTTCCATGGTGTGTTGGCTAGATGTGGCAGCCCCACATGATGCTGACGGGTGATGCTGCAGTAGATACATGATAATTTGACTAAAGTTTGAACTCTCATTTGTCATGTATATACCAAGATGCATATTGCATAACTGCAACATGAATAAGCACTGATAACTGTCGACAACTTTGATCAAGTAAACAATAAGTAACATGCATGTTACTTATAGCAACATGCAATAAGTAGAAGATGAAAAAAAAACATACAGTGACATGCAATAACACGATGACATAAGCAACTTCAAGAAGATTTAAAGCATACTATTTGATTCTGAAAATGGAAATCATTAGAACTTCTAGGAAAGGAAAAAAATGCGGAAAGAACTATGATCAACACATATGACTACTTGGCAAAGAGAAATTTTACCTTACAGATGATGTGTGGATTTCCCACAATGATTAGCAAGGATTTAGCACGGGTAATAGCAACATTAAACCTTCTAGGGTTGCTGAGGAATCCCAAGTTGTGTGCTCGGTCAAAGTCATTATGCTTCACCGTTGATCTGACAGTAGATATTATTATAATTTCCCTCTCTTGACCCTGAAATTGCTCAACACTGCCAACTTTCAGTTCCGGCAGCTCAAGTGACTCGAGGGCTTTCTTTAATTTGAGAACTTGTTGACGGTATGGAGTGATAACTCCAATATCATCCTCATTTACATCAGTATTCCTCCTTAATTTCCTGATGATCTCAACCACTTTGCTGGCTTCAATTCTGTTAAACCACGATGGATTATTGCCTTCCCTCTCATCACAACCTTGAATTCCAACAAAAAGAACAGGAAATGCCTTATTGGGAAGGTCTGCATATTCATAAATAGATGATACAGTGTCTTCTTTACAAGCAATCAATTCACCCTTGTAGAAAAGCTTTGATGGCAGATCCAAGATTGCAGGGTGACAGCGGTAGTTCCTCACCAGCTTTGTAACATAGTTCTCATCACTGCTTCCATAGTAATCACACTCAAAAAGTCTGTCTAAGTAGGATTTTCCTAAACCATAATTCTCTGCTTTTCTTGAATAAATAACAGGTCCTAATTGCATAGGGTCTCCTGCCAGCACAATCACAGTGTCTCTTGCACACAAGTTTGATATCGGGATCATGGTTTCAGGTTCAGAGGCTTGACCCGCCTCATCCAATAAAATATGGGAGAAATGACCTTTATGAATGCCTTCAGCATATAATAGTGACACACTCATGTAGGTTGAGATTATGATCTTGTACCGCAGCAAGGCCTTCAGAGGAGGGCATTTGAAGACCATATGATCAAAGAAGCAAAAACGAATAAAATCAGGCTTAACATCCTCATATGCACGGCTGGTTGCGTTTAGCCTAAACAATTCACTTTCCTGAACCCCTAGTCCATCTTTATCAAGCAGTTTCTCCAGAACATGGTCGGCCGCACTGTTTGATGAAGCACATACAAGAATCCGTGCATTTCTCCTGGTTGTGTAGAGCTGCAATATGGCTTCCACAAGTGTCATCGTCTTTCCAGTCCCTGGTGGTCCATATATGACGTAAGGATGAGATCCTCTGCAGCCAAGTATCATTTCAACTGCACGGGCTTGCTCCCTATTTATATATGGATTGAATGGTTTGAAAGACGATCTTTCGATGACCCTTCTGCGATGTGACTCTGAAGGAAAGAGAAGGTCTATCCCTAAATTTTCAGCAGCATGAACTGCTTGGTACAGCCTTCTCATGTTCACTCTATTGTATGTGAAGCTGACATTGTAAACATCATCCTCCCTGTGCTTGTGGTGAAAGCTCCTGTCAAATCTCAGATATATTTCATCTGCCTCAACCCTGTGAATGTAACCCTGAAAAGAATACTCGATATCATATAAGAACGATTTTGTTAACCCATATGGTGATGTTAATTTGAAGTGCAACTAGGGGTCGAGTTTAAGATGAGGATAAACCTGGTAAGGGAGTCTATCATCATCTGCACTGTCAGATGATAGCTGCGCCAATATATAGTCACCATAAACTAGTGAGGGTCTTCTCTCAGCCAATCCAGGCACCTCAAGGGACAACAAATATTTGCCCCTTCTCTTCATGGCCACACACTCCATGTCATATGCTCTCATCTCCTCCTGCAAAAGTCAATCAGCAGTTAAGAAGAAAAATGAATCCATCACTAATTTTTCAAGGGATAAAATATTCATTGCTACTTATTCAGGCTTAATCTGAATTACCTCCAAATTAATTTCTTCCATGACAAGGAGGGTGCTGAAAAACTTTGCATAGTTCTTCCTATTTAAGCCTTCCGTAATCACATCAGGAACCTGTTTATTCTCAATAATTTCACGTAAATCTTGGGGTATATCAAACGGAGGAAGCCTGTATCTGCGAATCCCCTGCGTATGTGCCCGAGGTGGACGAGATCCTGCCACATACCGATCATTATCAAACATTTTCCTCCGTGACGATGCTCTATAAGGCTTGTCAGAGAACAAAGCCTGTGAGACCTTGTCTTCCGCTAGTAGAAAGACCACTCGTTCAACTTTCTCATATTCCAGGTCAAAATGCAAAACAGAAGTATGCAGCCCAATATCTGTTGGCTTGCAAGACAGCCAAATCGTGAGAGTTTGTTCCGGCTGAAGCACCCTATCCTCCAAATACGTTGACCCAACAAAGCTACGCCTTGCGTCCATATCAGCATTATCTGCTGGAGGCTTCATCATTGACAGGATGTAGCTGTCCTCTGGATTAGATGAGAAAATCCTAATACTCCATAGTTCTATAGGGTCACTGGTTGTGTTCTTGATACTGATTGAATCTGCTGATGTTTCTCCGATAAAGGCAGACTGCGGTTTCCCATTAACAAAGGGAAAAGGACTTGTGATTTGAACAGGACCTTCAAGCGGATCAAAACTGTGAAGAGATTTGTCATCCTCGTAATCCAAGAACTCAACCTCCGGCTTTTCACTGATCTCCGAGTACTCATCATCCCAATCTTTTTCACCGATGGTGCCCATTATACATTAGCCTTCAGTCACCAAGGTTCTGGTCCAACCCAATGGACATGTACCATCAGATTTATCCCTTCATTTAATCTAGGCAGCAAGTATAGCCAAGAAATACAATTGAAAAATATTGAATCAAGTTCAAGAAAAAGCACAATTTTCAGATACTAATTCAGATCATTACATCTAATATTTAGAAATGATAACCATAGTAATAAAGAGCATCAGACAAACCCCCAAATAAAATCAACAGATAGTCATAGATCATATCTGAAACATGAAAGGATAATAATATTAAGAACAACATTTTCGGTGCACACGACTCCGAAACTACGCAAAACTCCATGATCAGGAACTCGCCAACGACAACCTCATGAACCTAAAATCATAGTACAATTGTTGCAACAAATAACCCTGAGATCCAGAAAATCTCAAGCAAAATATGTACCGGAAGATCAAATATTACTCGACATCCGTCGAGAGTTCTCATTACAAATCAATGCTGGAGATGAACGAGGGCATTCAGATGAGACCTAACCAAAACCCGAAGAAAATGCCAGAAAAACCAACCGATCGAGCCCAACGGAACGCCTCTTTAGCATACAGAGTGTGATTGATCCGGAGATTGCAGTGATCCCCAAAGTGTTGCCTCCTCGATGATTGGAGGCGCGAGAGCGAGAACGCCTCGAGAGTGGAAACGGAGTGAGAAAGGCAGCAGAGAAAGAAGTATCTCACCTGAAGCGCGTCGTACAAAGCGAAAAAGGCGACCATTCACAACCGTCCGCTTCACTTTTCAGTTAAATCGTAACCGTCCGTCTTTTTTTGGCGGATCATTTTTAAATAATTTATTTTCATTCAGAAAATATGAGCGGTTGAGATTTAAGTTCACTTTTCTATGGACTACTTTTGTAACGTAGCAATCTATCATTTAGAGCTTATTTCTTATTTTTTATAATCCTTTTTTATTATTTATCTTTTTTATAAAAATAAAATAAAATAATAATATTTTATTATTCACGATTCTTTTTCCTCTAATATCTTAAATATTTTTCATTTTTGCCACCTCCTTTTTCAAGTGGATATTGTCATCACTTTTATCTTAAATGCACATAACACACTAAGAAGAACATGCGATGTTGCTAAGCAAAAGGAATGGACGATAATGAGAGAGCATTTATGAGATTAAAATAATAATAAATAAATATGTCCTCGAAGCCATATGTCGTTGGTATTATAGTTTTGTTTGTGCCAGGCGGTCCTTTTGCCTGTTGCCACGTCGGATGGGTGTTTGACGGGGTATTGAACCGCTCGCTGGGCGTCGGATACATCCATCTTAAATGCGCAGAGCACACGAAGGATAGGCGACGTGGCGGGCAGACTCGGCGACCCGACAAAAGCCATTCGCCGCGTCCTACCCCATCGACGTACCCGTGTCTCGCTCCTGCCTTCGTGCTCGTCTCCCGTGAAGTCTCCGTAGTCCAACCCGGTGTCTCCTCTCACCTCGAATTGACCGGAATATGAACCGAACCGCGCCGGCAGCAAAACATGCCACTCCAACAGAGACTTTGTCCACGTCCAAGTGCTCGACTCCCTCGTCCTCCACGGCATGCAATTTGGTCCTGTCGAGCTTCCTGCCATCTGTAAATTAGACCAGCTTCGATGAGGAACACTCGTCAGTGTGCATGAGAACGGCGGCCGACCTTGTGTCTACAAGCGTCCAAACTCGCCAACTTTACTCTCGCCTATATGTACTCTCCGTCCTCCGCATCCCATCTCACCCTCTTCTGTGCTTGCAAGTATGGCCATCGCCAAGGCAAAAGTCCTCCTCTCCGCCCTTGTTTTCCTCTCCATCTCCCTCCTCTCGGCCGCCTCCGTCGTGTCCTACGACGACATCGACCCCCGGCGGCGTCTCGAGCAGTGCAAGCAAGAGTGCCGCCAGAGTCGACAAGGCGAGCAGCAACGACGCTGGTGCGAGCACCAGTGCGAGGAACAGTACCGTGAGCAGCAGAAAAAGGGCGGGAGGGATGGGTGGGCCAACCGCGACCCCGAAGAGGAGCTCCGGCAGTGCCGTCAGCAGTGCCGGAGCCAGCAGCGTGATCCGCAGAGGTTGAGAGAGTGCGAGCAACGGTGCGAGCGGCGGTACGAGAAAGAGGAGCAAGGCGGGAGCCGGAGAGAGGATGTCCTGGAGATGAACCGAGACCCCGAGGAGCAGCTCCGGGAGTGCCGGCAACGTTGTCAGCAGCAGCAGCACCGCGACCCACGCCAGTTGCAGCAATGTCAGACGCAGTGCGAACAGCGCTACAGAGAAGAGCAAGGTCAGGGGTCGGAGAGGAACGGCGACAACAGAGATCCTCAGGAACGGCTCCGGCAATGCCAGCAACAGTGCCAACAGCAGTACCGCGACCCACGGCGGATGCAAGAATGCCAAAGCCGATGCGAGGACGAGTACAGACAGGAGCAACAAGAAGAAGAGCGGCGACATGGCGGCGGGCAGAGCGATGAAGACAACAGAGAACCGGTCCAAGAGTACCAGCAGTGCCAGCGACGATGCAAAGAGCAGTACCGGGATCCACGACAACGGCAAGAGTGCCACAGCCGATGCGAAGAGCAGTACAGAGAGGAAACAGAACAAAGGAGGGGCTCCGGCGGAAACCCGGAGCAGCCCGAGGAGGAGCTACAATGGTGCCGAGAACGGTGCCGACAGCAGCAGCGCGACCCGCGCCAGCAGCAGGAGTGCTCGAAGCAATGCGAGGAACGTTACCGGGAGCAGCAGAAGGGACGTCGAGGAATCGACCTGGTGATAGAGGTGAAGTAGAGGTTTCCGCATCACTGGACACTCCGTGACGAACGGTGGCTCTGCAGGTTTCTATCAGAGTTAGACGCTCTGACACTTTGCTTTCAGTAGTAGAATCGAGTCTCTTATGTGGTAGTAGTGTAATCGAGTCTGTGCATCGACCCGGTAACTATGAATGAATAAGAGAGCTGCCTTTGAAATGAAACAGCAGAGATTGCTCGTGAAAGCAATAAAGACGGAGAACAGAGAAAACAGGGATCGAATGAGTCCAAATCCTTCTCCTGGTTGTGATTATTTGATAAGCTGATCACATTTATTGTTCTTAGACTACGCTATCACAGTCTGTTTCATGGTTTGCGAGGTCAGACTTGCATGGGTGCAGAGAAAAACTATTACATGCAGCAACAGCCTCAGCCACAGTGAGGAATATCCACTGTTGTCTGATGGTTTCGAGCGCCTTGGACTTGTCTAGCTTCTTCATCACCTCGCTGCCAGGGTTTGCTAGCACAAGCTGATCATGAAGAAACCACGGGGATGTCAATGACACAGACAAGCAAGATTGGGTTGTCTCGAAAGCTCCCTACCTGAACTCCTTTTCTGTCCATGCTCTTGTTGATTTCTTTCAGCATGTCAATCCCACTGGAATCAATGCTACCCACAGCTGCCACAAATTGAATGCTATGAGAAGAAGAAGAAGAAGAAGAAGGAGAGTGAAAACGGAGAGGAAGAAACCACTTACCGCCCAAGTCTAAGATCACGTACTGTATGCCGATCTCTCCCTTGGATTGTAGCTTCTCCTCCTCTTCGTCCATCCACCTCGATATCCTAATTGGTGAATCACGTCCATGAGCAAATTCTACCATGAAAAGTAATCCATCACACCGTACAGCTTCTTGCATTCTAACCTCTCTCTCAAGTAGCTTGCGTTGGCGAAGTAGATTGGGGCGTCGACTCGGAGAATGAGCACGCCGGGGACACTCTGCGCCTCCGAGTACTGGTCCATCCGCCGATAGATCGAGGAGTTGGGAATGTTTCCGAGAACAGTCGTCCTCGGCCTCGCGACGAACAGCAAAACCCTTAGTATGGAGATGGCCACCTACAGTAGCAGCACGCTCGTGAGAGGTCCGATCTTGAGTGCATTGTAGGCGGGCATGGAAGAGAACGTACTGCAATCACTAGTCCGATCTCGACGCTACCGAAGACGACCCCCAAGTATGCACACATGCACACGCAGAAGTCGATCTTGTCGACCTGCCACAGGTGCATCGCCGCCTCGTAGTTGATGAGGCCCAGCATCGCAGCGACGATGATGGCAGAGAGGACGACCAGAGGAGTGTAGTGGAACAGAGGCGTCAAGAACAGCAGAGTGATCGCCACCGCCACCGCCATCACTACGTTCGACATCGCCGTCTTGCAGCCGGCGTTGTAGTTCACCGCCGACCGTGAGAACGGCCCTGGTACGCAGATCATTAGCATCGATTTTTAGCTGGTACGACTCCGAACCTAACGAGAACATTGCATGCCAAGGAACGCACCGGTGGTCAAATAGCATGACGTGAAGGATCCGGCGATGTTCATCATCCCAAAAGCGATCATCTCTTTGTTACCGTCGATGTGGTAGTTCTTGAACATGGCAAAACTCCTTCCCACAGCGATTCCTTCCTGTGATTACACACCAAACAAGCGCTGATTTAGATGAAGTAATTTAGCATAGAGACAAGAAGACACTTTAGGCGCTGTAGCCAATTTCTCTTCAGAGAAAACATACCGCAAGGGCGATGATCGCGGTGATGATGCCAGTCTTCAGTGCGACAGCCATATGTGGTGGCGAGAACACCAGGTTGGTCAGCGATGGTGGATTTAGACCCTTCTTCAGGTACCCAATCTGCACGGTGATCGCACTGCTTTCAGGATTGATTTGAACTGTTGCAGCAAGAAGATTATGAGAACTCACCACTTGAACGCCGTGGTTCTCGGCATGGGTGAAGTACACCAGAAGACTTCCCAGAATCACCGATGTCAAGGGAGCTGCTGCGGAGACCCAGAAGAACTTGGGCCCCTTTTTGCTCTGTCAGTTCAAGAAGAACACCATGATCTCCGTGTCTTCAAGTAAGAAATCATCATCGTGGTAATTTTAAGATCTTACTGAATAGATAATGTCTTAGATTGGTTGACCCATTTTTGTTTCTTGAAGATGGATGTGACATTATTGTTAGCTTCGTCCAAATCAACAGTGATGAGAGAGGGACGACTCACTAGAAAGCGCGTGAGGAGGAGGAAGAACAGGAAGGAAACACCGAGAACCGCACTTTCCCACCTCCACTGCAAGAAAAGAAACCACAACCACCACCAATCACTTCAGATCTCCATTAACATAAGATGTGAGAGAATATCTAACACTGAACCTTTAAGAGAAGTTACTGAACCAGACAAAATAGATCATGTAACTGTTGTCATGATCATAACGGTCATATGGTACGCAGTACTTCTGACATGAGAAAAAGGAGACATCTTTAGGAGAGAAGACATGGAAGGGGCAACAGGTAAGAAAGAACCTGGTGAGTTTGAGTGAAAACAGATTCCATGACAGAGATGAGATCAGTGGCCGTGGTGAAGTGTTGGAGACCCAGCATTCCCTTTAGCTGTTGGAGGCAGACGACTGTGGCAGCCCCCGCCATGAAGCCCACGATGGTTGCATGGGACAAGAAGTCCACTATGAACCCAAGCCTGAAAGCATCAAAGGAGAAACATAAATAAAGATAATATACTTTTTGTTTTTCTGACAGAAGGAATGAGAGAATAATTTGCTTTATCTGATTTCTTTCTCGAGAGGAAAAGTAAAAGTCCTGATGCTTTCCCAGTTGTCGCCTTGTCTCTCACATGTGTAATTACTAGGGGCATAAATAGGGAGAACTGTGATACTATACACAACCAATAAGACTGTGACTCCTCCAAATCAAATTATTCTCTCTATTCACTACTTTATTTCTCGCCAAATCATATAGATCTGTTTCTTTCGTGTCTTTATCTTCCCTATTCTTGTTTTTCCTCAGACATATTCCATAACAATAGACAATTCTACCATCCAATCTCATGCAGATACGTTCATGCATTTACTCTCTCTCTCTCTCTCTCTCTCTCTCTCTCTCTCTCTCTCTCTCTCTCTATATATATATATATATATATATATATATATATATATATATATATATATATATATATATAAAGAAGAAATCATCCGTTATTGTACCTTAAGAGTCCCAAGGAAGTTTGAAAGACACCAGCAAAGAACGTTGCAGAGAAGGCTAAGTGAAGGTATAGTGTTGGGTTCTGTGACGGTGGCACCTCCTTTCCCAGCATAGACGCGATCAGTAGCGACGCCACAGCCACAGTCCCCACAGCAAGATCCTTGGAGCTTCCCATCATGGCGTATACCAGCGGCGGCACGAAGCTCGAATCTGCACACGTATGTAATGGAGTGAGAGCTGAAATCGTGCCGACACCACCATTGATTTCCGAGCATGCACTTACATAGGCCCAGAATCGGTGGCAGGTTCGCGAGCTTGGCGTAGCTGATCCCCTGTGGTATGGCAAGGCTAGCGATTGTGATCCCAGCGACGAGGTCAGACTTGAAGGTGCTGTGGCCATAGCTGGGAAGCCATTCGAGGACCGGGAAGAAGTACTTCAATCCCATCAGAAACCGTCTCGACCCGGGCACGTTCTTGAATTGCCGTAGGGGGTCGTCAGGGAAGAATGTCTCCTTGAGGTTGGCTCTAAACGTAGCAAGAAACGATCTCGACGGCGGGATCGGGACGTGTCCGGTCAGCTCCACCCCGTCCACGGTCCCCGACGGGAACACGGCGTCGGAATTCTCCACTGTCACCATTGTGGAAGATGCGAGGTCAGAGAGTCGATGAGGTGAGTCAGAAGCTGGGGAGAGAGAGAGAGAGAGAGACAAGGGAGGAGAGGTGAGGGAGCGAGGAAGACTGCAGCTGATCCCCTGACGAGGGAGGGGAGGGGAAGGGGTTGTGTATATATGGAGAAGAGGTAGGTTGTGGTGCGCCGGCGGAGGATTCTGATCCCCTAACGAAATCCCTCTTGAGGGAAGTGCGGGTGGGTCCGAAGGAAGGCGTGGCATGAAAGCTGATGGCGACGTGGAGGGAAATTAGTGGCCGAGGGAAAGCTTAGGAATAATCTGGGATTTGTGGCTCAGCGTCGATGTTTGGTCTCAGCGGGAGGCCCGACACTGCAAGTCGATTCGAGTGGCGCCGCGTGTTGGCGATGATCGGCATCTGACCGTCTGATGTGACCGCCGCGAGCTGGTCCAATCAGTTGACTGCGGAGTCAACTGGGAAACCAAAGTGGGACGGTTGCCCCTGTCCCATATCTAGATTACGAATCTTGAAGTAGATCGCTGCCAAACTTTCTCTCTCTTTTTGCTCTACGTCTAAACGTATGATACAGATATGGTAGTATACAAATGGTGTGGATATTAGATTCATACTTACATCATCTTGAAATTTGGATTGGATGGTCAGAAACCAAGGGGTATACTATTATATATTTTAACATGTGAAATATTGAGTATTTCTATTTTTATTTCTGGCCAAATCATATAAATCATACAATATATATTTTATTTAATAATTTTTTACTTAAATAACAAAAGTGTTCATGATAGTTTTTCATATTTTTGGTTTTTGATGCCTTGAAGAAAAATGGAGTGATCCCCCATATTTCCAATAAGATGAGCAGCATCTTAATTAATCAGTACATGGTAAGTTGGTTCTTAAATCAATCCAGCAATTATATTACTTGTATTTTATTGATACAATATTGACTTTGAAGTCCATGCTGATATCATAGAGGTAGAATCTTAAAGGTTTATGGGGGTATTGGTGGCCTAATTCCTTTGACCTTTGACCCCTGTTCTTCTCCTCGGCTAGTTTTCAGTCCAAGGAATTGAACTGATCATGTACACACCAACCTTCAAGCATTTGGAAAGTCTTATGATGGCCGGAAGATCAACGACACAGCTTTACGTGAATTGTTATTGTTCATTGAGCCTTGCAAAGTCATCACATCCTTGTCATGTCAAGGGAATGATATCATATTATCTCCAGCCTTTTGACAAATTGCGACAGCCAGATTTGAAGAAAGCTCTGTGTGATGATGAAGTACACCGTGAAGGCATGAAAGTCTCGATTCTAAATGAGACAATGGTATGCCAATTACCTCAGTCAAGCTGACTCTTGTTGTTTTGCAGTCGAACTTCTTCGAGCTTCGTCACGGTTTGACAAGAAGCAGCGTGTTCTTTCAACAGCCCTTCGAGATATGGATCAATTTCCGAGACTCTGCAGCTTTCGGCGATTACAGTATTGGCTGGTCACAAAGTGGATTGTCTTGAAAACTGCTGCTTCTCAGAGTAATATAATAGACAAAGGAGTGTGGTCTCCACATGCATCCATCTCTCTGCTGCTTCACGGTAGGTGAGACAGAGTTCAAGTTATCCGTTTAATGCATGGTAATCCAAAATGTATTATTGATCTAAATGTTCTGGGTGGAGAAGTGATTGGGGAGGTGTGACTGTCTTCAGCTCTGTTGATATCCACAGGATTGATGAGAAAGTTGTATGACTTTGGAATCCTTCACAGTCTACATGCAGAAACTGTCTCGAGTGCGGCGTCCATTTACGCGAATCGTGGTTGGTCGGACTCCCCCCTTTCTGTTTGAAACGTGAGCTCGGCAGTGGTCAACGCAAGGCTTGCCTCGCATCCACTCAATCGACAATGTTCTGAAGTCAGCTTCCGAAGAGAGCATTGTGGCGGTGCAATGAAGACACCAATGAGTCCTATAATCGAGGATGATAAGCTTTACGATGTGCGCATGCAAGTAGAGCATGTCTTCCTCTCCGCCTCTTCGCGTTGGTCAAAGCCTCAAAGAACAAGGAGATGTGGAAGAAGACCAGGCTGCACTTGAGCTGCAGAGTATAATGGCTGGCCCCCCCCATCATGGACAGTGGTGACAAAGTGAGTTCCCTTTCGCACGGTCAACTGTGTTCAGCATCTTACTGTGTCCTCGGTATCCTCGGAGGTCCCAAATCTTACACGCTGTAGGACCAGAGTCGGTCAGTGGAATGCTAGAGAGAGTTGCACGTTCTGTGGAATCAATCTTTGAGTTTTGCAGGTAAAAATAAGCTTCCTTTGGCCTTTGAGTGTAGCACAGAGAAGATGACGGCAACAAAGACGGCAAGCAGCTGAATGGGGAGCCGAATGCTATAGACAACAATGAATGTTCCGAGGCCTCATCAGAAGATTCACATTGCTGGCAGAAAACAGCAGTAGATCCGAAAGCAATCTCTCGTGGCCAAATGCCACGGTTGGCATGTCCTGGGAAAAGGAGACAACAGTTAGTCGAGGAGTAGAACAAAGGCATCCGTTCATATCGAAATCCATCATGATCTATTGCAGTTATTGTGATCAAGAGACCCGATACTGTTGCCCTAAATTACTACTACAGAAACAAGAAGTAGAGCACAGACACCTGAGTGAATAGAAATGTTCATAAATTATCACTAGAACACCTTTTAACTCCAAAAATGGAACTACTACTACTACTGCAAGAGGTTCTATCTTAGCTTCCTATCGTTTCTGTTCCTTTTTCTCAACTCTCTTTTATCCAATGTGTATTCTTTTTTTATCAGCATGTTTCGCATCGATACTTTAACTGCCTCGGCTGCTGCCGCTAAGGCTGCGTCTTCCTTGGTAACGTCTGGACTCCCCTGCAGATGCGAAAGGAGTTTCTGGCCGCCGGGTACTTCATTGTCTTCCAAAACAATAGGATCATGGCCATTGTCATTGGATCGGTCTTTGCAAAAGCCAGAGATGACCCTAATGCGGGTTGGTAACTGGGTGGTGGATGGGGCAAGATCATTAGATGCACCCATAATTGTCCACATGCGTTGTGTGAAGGTACTCAATGCTAAGCTGGTTGGGAAATAATTCTCTTCCAAGGTAACAACCTAATGGAAAGAAGAAAAGAAAAGTGAAAAAAATAATCTTCCAAACCATTCATTACTAAAAAAATATGTTTCATGTAATCTCAGTTGCCCAGTTCGAGAAGGTATGGTGGAAATATAATCAGAACGCATGATGCACTAAAGAAACTACTACCAGAAAAAATGGCAAATAGGTCACTAAGAATCCATCTAGTAATCTCAGAAGCTTCGCAAATGTTTTACATGCTGTTGTGAAGGCAGGTAAATAACAGGGTTAACACAGAGCGAAGCAGAAAGTAACGTAGAAGCAAATCAAGGTAAAATCAAACTTGAAAGGCCTATAAATCGAGGTAAAACCAGACTTGAAAGCCCAAATCTGAAATGGACATTACACGCAGGTTTATAATCCAATAAGAGGGTTTCATGTTTTTTAGCTCCATCATTTTCCCCCTTTGGCTTCATTCAGTATGCATTTAGAATAGCCAGATGTGCATGCAAGGTCTATTAGCTAATTACATCTCTGGGTCAGATTATTACCTTGGCAACAGAAAGAGTCCTATCGGAAAAATCACAATTCAGAAGCACTATTCCGTGCAAACTGCAATACCGCATATCACTGACTTTCAGACAATGACAAGTTTGTCGTGTCCAGAAATGTTGAAGAGAACTGTAAAAAAATGTCGCTGAACTTACCTTTGAATGGCAACAGCAATTATCGTACCATCGGAAGAGGAACATAGATCAGTTACTGGTGGATAACTATCCTTTGTTCCAGTGGATTGTAACAATTCTGCCTTAAAAAGGAAACCAGAAAGCTTTCAGATAAAAGATGATACATTAGCTGACTGAAAAAGAATAATAACTAGTTGAGTCCGTCATGATGAATAGTCGAAAATAAAGAAGACTGAAGAACAACCAATTAAAGAATGTGGGCAGATGCATCATCTGCACATACATAAGATGATAACACGTGTATCCTCTCAGATAAATTGAAGCCCATGAAGACTGGAATAAGTCATCTAGGTAATCAACAATTAAGACATCATCACATGCAAAACATGAAACGGTCTACATAAAGCCAAACAATAAATCCAGAGAAGGGCATTTGAATCTCAATGGAGCATTATAAATACTTCAAACGATCTAAATTAAAAGACTCATTAAAGTTGTATATTAATGTAATCAGTTCAGACCAACATATCCAACAAAAATACTGTCACACAAAGCAAAATAGCTCTGCGGACCCCGAGAAAATTTTGAACATTTCCAACTTTCCGTTACCTACTAACCTATCTACTGTCATCCCTATATGAACTAATAAGGCTCCTGGGTCCTGTCAGCTCTAAACCAAAGGGGGTCTTTTCTTGTGAATACGAATGGTAAATTGGGTCAGCACCTACCTTTCTGGCAGCATCCATAATTCATAAAATTTGCAAGTACCATAAGAAAAACATTAACCCTAAATGATTCTAGATGATGAGGCATCATAAGAATCTATAGTTCAGGAACTGTTATGATTAGAAACCAAGTTCTACGCAACTATTAACTTTCCATACACAAAATAAAATAAGCTCAATCTGTGTACCTTTGCTCCGACTTCACAGGTAGCAAGCAGAAGGCCAGAAAAGAAATCCCACAAGCGAACCTACATAAAGCAAAAGCCACAGTATACATACATGCCAGCAACAATGTTTTTCATATTCCTAGTCAGTTCAGTGCACTCACAGTTGAATCACCCCCTCCAGAGAAAAGAAAGCCATGGTCATAACCTGAAGGACATGCAAAGGAAAGACCAGAAACATAGCTGCAAAGGAAAAAAAAAAATGTTATCTAACAGCAACTTAAGTAAGATCTTACATTAATACATGGAGGGCAAGAATTCAACGTGTGATGTAAGGACGACAAATGTAAGGATGGCAAAATCAAGTGCTCAACACATAACTGGTTCTGCACCAGCATAGCCAGCATGCTTACTCCAAACTGCATCAGTTCAATATAATGTCTTAAAACAACATTAAATTACCCATTCCTATATACTCAAGAGCCGTAACTCTGCTACGAGCAAGCTAATGTTTGTTAAATATCCAGTTGCTTTACATAGTGAAAAAAAACTTAATCCATCAGCACAAGTAAATTAGAGAGTGAAGTAAATAAACAATATAATGGGCATGTAAGAAAGAATTAATGCATAACTCACTCTTTATGACCAAGGCAGAAACTTTGTATTTCAAGTGCCCCTTTTAGGGGTCGTTTAGGAAATGCAGTAATCTGCAAGTGGGAATACGAAAGATGTTCTGAGACAACAGGGAGAGTTCCACATATAACTAAGTAGTCTAAAAAGCTTATACATACACGAATTTTGAAGTCACGATCAGAACTTGCAATGAACCTGTCATCTGGTGAGAATTCCTACATATTTAACAACAGAAAAACAACCAAAACTGTATGATTAAGCAAAATTAGACCCTCACAAGGGAAGCAACATAACACAATGTAAATAAATGATCATTTTTTATCTAAAAATCAAGTCATAATCACTAATCAAATACAGAAAACAAGTTTTATTCACTAAACTTCCTTCTTCCATAGGGTAGTTAGTTCACCACCATATTTTATTTACAGTCTTCTATGATTTGCAGGAAGGGAAATAAATATATGCTTCAGTAGTCACTGAGCAAGGAACATATTTCATTGTAACAGACCTTAAAACTCATGCTTGTGAAATGGTAAAAATCATACATTAGCTTTCACTGGAAAAATATGTTCTGCTAGAGCTCATAAATAATTACAAGCTAAAACAATTTTCGAAGAACCTTGAATCCTTTTTTTTCTTCTTTTACCAAAACCAAAACTCCATTGACATCAATGACACAAAAAACATAAATATTTATAAATTGCCTCCCATATCAGTAGTAGCAAGTTTCCTGGATCCCAAGATTAAGGATTCAACCACAAACATTATTTGATTTTACAAACCAATTAAATACAAATAAAACTCAAATCAGACATCGGCAATATTAAATGCCATATAGTCCAGGCAGAACATTATCACTGACCAACGCTGCACAGGGAAAAGGTAATAATTTACAGCTTCCATGACAGCAACAATTTAAAATGCCATCTAATTCATTTATAGCAGAGCAAATCAGATTCAGTGAAGTTGAACAAAGAGGAATTCATTTGGATGGAGAGAAAAGGAAAATAAAGGACAAGAAGAAAAATAATACAAAATCATCAAGAATATTCAAAAACTTGGACAATAAAAACTCATACCAGCCTAGTAACAATGCTACAGTAATGACCTAGAATTGGCACTGCCTTGTTATCAACTTTTGACTGATTAGCATCATCTTCATCCAGTGTGATTAACCAGATAACTCCGAACTTATCAGCAAAAGCAACATATTTGCCATTGTGGCTAATAGCAACTGCACTAACTCGTTTGTCGGCAGATCTGCACATTAGCCATTCACAGCAGTGCAAATTTGTCATTTTCCCACACAAGAGGTGCTTGATAGCAGTAAAATATGGAATAATGAAAACACTTGATTAGAGTAACCATACATAATGAACATACTCAATTGGCAGATACATCAGATTTACTTTTATTATTATATCACGATTAAATTCAATTCTACCAGTAGAATTTGCATCAAACATCTATAGAAGAATAGATCCTTGTCCACTTGAATTTTTTGCACCATACCATCTGTTGCAACATAAAACTCAGCTATGTTTGAGGCTTCTTATTTATGCATCAAAACAAACTCGAATGTGCTAATGTGCTAAGAAATCTATAAGCTAAAACACATCATAATCTATACATGGACATTCGTATGGCAGCTTAAAATAAGGCACGGATTCTATTTAGTACAACTGGTCCTTCCAAACCATGAATTTAACTAAAAGTCTAAAACCTAGATATTGTGGAGAAAGCTGCTAATTTAAGTAAAGTTGATTTATAACTAAGGTAAGAGACATTGAATGACAGAGCCTCTAAGGATTTAGGATTTTATTTGTTAAATATACTGGCAAAAATGTCTTACCACTCAGAATCTTAAGGGCCAATAACGGTCTTCATCATATCGGTCAATAATAGATGCTATAGGAATAAAATCCAAAGAAAAGAATTCACAATATTAACAGGAAAGGAATCTGAATTTTCTTCACTATATGAAACTAAGAGAACTTTACATAATTGCAACCTTTAGAATAACACTCATATCCCATATTACTTACCAATTACATATTTTGAATTTACATGCACACATGCAAAGATTCCACCCGGTCCACCCCCAAAATAATAAAATAGAACAATCTTATCTACCATGAAAAATTCAAAACTCAAAACTTACACAGAGCAAACGCAATGCCAGGAACTTGTTGCCCATATCTTGACAAGCTTGTCATCTCCAGCAGACACAAAAAGTCTTCCGTTTGCACCGAAAGTAATTGCTCTAATAGCATCTGAATGAAGAGGCCCGCCAGAATCATCTTTCAGTGAGACCGAGCAGTCACCTCTGTTGGGAATAAATCAAAGACAAACAAAATAACATCAACAAGAAAAATAGATATTGTCCTGCTATTTATCTAAAAGGGCTCATAAATGATTCAAAATAAATGGCCTAAGGCCCCAAGCTATGTTTGCCTCTTACTATCAGATTATCGAATGCTTTCCATATCTGTTAAAATTCCAATCATTAACATATTAATATTATATTTTATAACCATGCAGTGGTGGCCACAAAGCAACTGACAATTACTCAAGAAAGAACTGTATTCTGGTTCGAAGAAAAAGATATCAATATTGAACTTAAAAGAGACCTACCACTCAATTCTTATGATTTTTGTCAAATTCAATTGTCAAGTATGACATATCTATGAGAGTAATCATTTTTCCATGGAGATATTTCAAAATTTACAAAGCTTACTCTAAATTGAAGAGCCGGAGTTCAGAACCCACTGCAACAACAACTGATTTCTCAAAAGGATGAACAGAGATCAGTGCTGGAGCGACTTTGACGTCCATATTTTTCTCTTCTTCAACCAACCCATTCTCCGTGTCCTATTCCCAAACGAAAGTGAAATAAGAGATCTAGGATTTATACACAACAACAAAAAATGTTTCGTTTCACGAGAGACATTTCAGAAACTAAATAAGGACATGCGCCATCTTTTATTTTCCTTTAGGAGGCAGAACATGTTGAGAGAAGTCATCACGTAAATCTGTAATTCCACAATTGCCGGTTTGCACACACAACTTTCCCTGAAGGTGTGGAGTATCGGAGTAGTCAATGTAGGGATTCTATTAGCTTGAAGAAATGATTTTTCTAGTAGTTTTTACGAAGCAATTAGAATCTTGAAACATTATTGGACGTCATAACGCGACGGGATGAAGTACAACAAGTGAAGAAGACGAAGATATCACTTCTATTCGCCAATAAAAGGATGAATAAAAGAAGACATCATCTTTCATGACCTTGCATGGAATTATGCAGTCTATGATCTCAATTGCACCGGTGGCTACACACAACATTACATGAGATCTTATTTAGCGTAAAGGCAGAACAGAAAACGAGACAAACGACAAGATCGAACAGGAGGAGAAAGAGGAGGATCAACATTAAAAGAACGCAAACCACGATCGCCGCCGCAGCAGCAGCTTCGTGGCCGCCATCGGAGACGATCTCCGCCGACTCTTCCATCGGCTGTCGAACTTCTCGCCCGCGTTAGCGCCCCCGCTTCCGCCGCCCAGTCCAAAAAGGGCGAAGAAGAGAGAACAAGAAGGACGGAGCCCGAAACATTAGCGCGCGGCCCCGGCGGCAACCGCTTTCGATTGAGGCCATTTGCCCTAACAAGGCAAGTCGTTCAGGACGCGGTGAGCCGTTGTCGGGTCGGGTCGAGTAAATTAGGTCGAACCGGGCCGAACTTGGACGCAGTCGGCACGAGAGCAACCCAACCCGAACCATCAAGCGGTTAATTAAGCCATGTTTTGTAATTTGGATCGTTCCGTTTGTCGTGACATCATGTTTCACCACCGAATGGAAGCTAAATATCACTTTTTTTGGGCACATCCGTCTTATGATTTTTGGTCAATAATATCAATAAAATTATACAATATGATTTTGCACCGAAATCGATTCACTAATGCATCCAATTCACATGATCATAATTTTTCTTGTTTGATGGAGGATACAGATTCATTCTTACATATGGCATTCGTGCACTTCCAAGCCAGCAAGTATCAGATGAACGAAGTAGACGGGCGACGAAACGAGGCACGAAAAGCCAATGCGCGTGGGACCCAGTTGGGGCCCTCTTATCTCGCAATGAATGACGTTAACGTCGACGCATCGCCGCTGAAAATTGGTCATGGTTGACGTGGTCGGTCCCGCGCGTCGGCTCCGTGAGAAGTGACATCACCCCTGTCCGTTATAACGGGTGATTCGGCCCGACCAAGAACTGGACCAAAAGGCTTATCTCCTAGCAAGATAAGAACGGCTGCCGCGGCGTGTCTGCTGTGTAGTCTCTTCTTCCCTCCCAGTGGAACAGTGTGAGGGCACCGGCCATGTCGGACGCAAGGCAGGTCTTCGAGCACGGCGAGCACAACGTGAGGTTGCTGAGCCTGGAGCCGAAGGCGGCCACAGGGAGCTCGCCTTCGCCTCCCCCGAAGCCTCTTATTGTCGCCTCTCCAACCGAGGAAGGAGAGTACCCCACGCTTGTGTTCCTCCATGGTTACCTTCTCTACAACTCATTCTATTCTCAGCTCCTCCGCCATGTTGCTTCCCATGGGTTCATCATCGTCGCTCCTCAGGTTCGATGAATCTGTGTACTCATGAATCCGTGTTTGAATAGGCTAATAGTAATTACTGGTCATGGCTCCTCTCCTGCAAAACATTAAATCGTCTATTATCTATGTCTATCGAATCTCTTAGACAATCTGTAGAAATCATAATGGGTTGTAGAAAAAAATAGCACAACTTAAATCTTTAAGTCATGCAATTAAGAATTAGAAGTTCTTCTATTGATTGATAGACAATTCAGATTAGTATTTGTATTGCTCCCATGCAGTTATATTCAGTGGCAGGGCCAGATTGCGGAGCTGAAATCCAATCTGCAGCAGCAGTAGTAGAGTGGCTGGCTGATGGATTGATTCATGTGCTCCCGGAACATGTGAGATCAGATCTAAGCAAGCTGGCCATCGGAGGTCACAGTCGAGGAGGCAAAGTAGCATTTGCTCTTGCTCTTGGCCATGCTAAGACGACACTCGAGTTTTCAGCACTCATAGGAGTAGGCCCAGTCGATGGAATGGAGAAAGGGAAGCAGACTCGTCCTCCCATCCTTACTTACGTCCCCCATTCCTTCGACCTTAAGATGGCAGCTCTGGTGATCGGGTCAGGACTGGGAGAGCTGAAGAAGAGCCCTCTGTTTCCTGCTTGTGCTCCCAAAGGAGTGAACCACCAGGATTTCTTCGATGAATGCCGTCCTCCAGCCTACCATTTTGTGGCCAAAGAGTATGGTCACCAGGACATGTTGGATGACGAGACAAGCGGAGTGAGGGGGAAGGCTACTTACTGCCTGTGTAAGAAGGGGCCGTCGAGGAAACCGATGAGGGCATTTGTAGGTGGGGCGATGGTTGCATTCATGAAGTCTTATTTGGAGGGCGACACGCAGTTCCTGACGGCCATCGTGGATGACCCACAGATTTCACCGGTTGAGCTTTCGACTGCTACGTCTCTCGAGTTGGGCAACTAAGTGGATTAGAGGGAGGAGGAGACAGAGTATGAACCTTCAATAAATTGGAAGTGGTCATAATTTCAGAGACATTATATTTGTGATTCCTTTATGTATTTTGAAGAATGTTGTCGATTATGAATATAACACTAATTTATGGCTATTAATCTTTAATCTTTCAAAAACTCGAGCGATTTCCTTTTTAAAAAAAATATTATTTTGTTATCAAAATAGCATTCTTTATTTTTTTTTTCCTCTAATTCAAATAATACACAAACTATTCCTCACCAAACCCAATAGTATATTTTTCATCAATTTTTAAATCAATTTAAATTAAAATAATATTTAATATTATAGTGTTTTTATTGAGGTATCAAAAATATTATAAAATTATCAAAATAAATATTACAAATATTATAAAATTTACTTTTTTCTCAGAATAAAAATATTTATTTTTTCCCTCTAATTCAAATCATAAATATTTTTTTATTATTCATCATTTTTTTTAATTTTAAATTAAAATAATATTTTCATTTGACTTATTTACATAGTGATGAGGGAAATAATGGCGACAAGACTGGGGCTGACGTCACCTGTCCCAGATGACGCATCACGCCTCAGTACCTGGTCAAACGGACCAGAACGTCGACCGAGGCACATTAAACATTCTGCCCAGGCTCGGTCTCGCACGCCACGCTAGCGCCAGTGTCAGACGCTACCTGCTCCTGCAAGGGGGCACATCAGGCACAGTAAGCTTCCCTATAAATACCCTCGCATGCTAAGAGGGAAGGAAGAGGACGGACACACACAACCCCTAGGGGGACTAACTTAACCATTGAAGGGGTCGGGTCAAACATCCCGACCCGACCTGTGTGCAGGTACGAAGGCGAGACGCCCTCCGCTCGACGCACAAGCAAGGAGCCTCATTCCCGGAGAAACCGACGACCCCCCGCGGCGACTGAACCCAAACCTGACCGCATTGGCCCCGAGGCCACGGTTCAAACAGTTGCCCCCCGCAACACTTTGACGCTAAAAGGAGGGCCCCGAAAGTCGAGGGATCATCCAACTGGCTCAGACAAGCTCACAGTTGAGGGGTCACTCCTGATCGGAGCTCCGGGGGAAAGTCCCCCGCATGGAGATCTTCGAGACGAACACCCCGTCGCGACCGCAGAACGCCACTGGTGTTTGTCCACGACCCGGGTCTGCTTCCGCCCGAGCGCGCCCCCAGCGACCCCTCGACCGTGTCGCTCAAGGCCTTCCAGGACCTCGCTCATCAAGTCTGAGCGCTGACGGGTATAGTGCGAACCATTATCCCGCTCGTTTCTCATCCGGTGCACCCCCCTACGACCACCACGGCAACGAGAGCCGCCCGCTCGGGCCCGCCCTGCCTTAGTCTCTGCCAAGAGAAGGCTCAGTGTTTGCCTGACTGCCTCTTGGCTCACGGTTAGCTTCGGCCTAACCCCCCTCTTTTTTGCATTCGCACGGCTTGGTCGTAGACTACCCGAGTCCACCTCGGTCGCAGCCTGCCCGCCCGAGTGGTGTCCCTCGGCCGCAGCTTGTCTGCGCCGAGTTTCACGGCCACACCGCCGAGCCCACCTCAGCGCGGCCTGCCCTCCTGAGCGGCGTCCGCGCGGCCACAGTCTACCTGCGCCGAACACCTCGGTCGCATGGTGCCCGAGACCACGCCCGTGCGACTTGCCCACCTGGGTCACGTCCCTCGGCCGCAGCCCGCCTGCGCCGAGCTTCTCGGCCATACGCTGCCGAGTTCACCTCAGCGCGGCCTGCCCGCCAGAATCGAGCCCCCGGCTTTTGCCATATCCCTCGGCCATAAACGGACGAGCCCACCTCAGCGCGGCATGCCCGCCTACGTCATACTCCTCGGCAACGTGTTGCCCGAGACCACCTCTGATCGGCTTGCCCGACAGAGCTGTGCTCCTCGGCTGCATGTCGACCGAGACACGCCCTCGCGGCCTGCCTGCCTGTGTCGTGCTCCTCGGCTCATAGCCCGAGTCGCTCTAGTTAGACCTCCGACTTGCGACTCGCCGGCTCGGCCCATAACCCGAGACATGCCTACGCGGCCTGCCCGCTTGCGTCGTGCTCCTCGCCTGCACGTTGTCCGAGACCACGACCTCTGCTCGGCTTCCCGATTGAGATGTGCTCATCGGTCGCACGTTGCCCATGACCCAAGACACACCCACGCGCCCTGCCCGCCTGCGTCGTGCTCCTTGGCGCATAGCCCGAGTTACTCCAGTTCGATCTCCGACTTGCGACTCACCGGCCCAGACCATAGCCCGAGTCGCTCCAGTTCGATCTCCGACTTGCGACTCACCGGCTTGGCGCATAGCCCGAGTCGCTCCAATTCAATCTCCGACTTGCGACTCACCGGCTTGGCGCATAGCCCGAGTCGCTCCAGTTCGATCTCCAACTTGCGACTCGTCGGCTCAGACCATAGCCCGAGTCGCTCCAGGTCGATCTCCGACTTACGACTCGCCGGCTCAGACCATAGCCCGAGTCGCCCCAGTTCGATCTCCAACTTGCGACTCGTCGGCTCAGACCATAGCTCGAGTCGCTCCAGTTCGATCTCCGACTTGCGACTCGCCGGCCCAACCTGCCCGCCTGCGTCGTGCTCCTCGACCCCCTGCTGCCCGAGCTCACCGCGGCACGACCAGCCTTCCTTATTTGCTAAATTCGGACTCCGCCCCCGGTAACGAACCAGCAGCTGCTCTACAAGAACGAGCACTAAAAGCTGAAGCCACACCTCGGACCCCTCTTACAACAACAGCCGATGTGTGGCTCCCTTCAGGGGGGGAATATGATGAGGGAGATAATGGCGACAAGACTGGGGCTGACGTCACCTGTCCCAGATGACGCATCACGCCTCAATACCTGGTCAAACGGACCAGAACGCCGACCGAGGCACATTAAACATTCTGCCCAGGCTCGGTCTCGCACGCCAGCGCCAGTGTCAGACGCTACCTGCTCCTGCAAGGGGGCACATCAGGCACAGTAAGCTTCCCTATAAATACCCTCGCATGCTAAGAGGGAAGGAAGAGGACGGACACACACAACCCCTATGGGGACTAACTTAACCATCGGAGGGGTCGGGTCAAACATCCCGACCCGACATGTGTGCAGGTACGAAGGCGAGACGCCCTCCGCTCGACGCACAAGCAAGGAGCCTCATTCCCGGAGAAACCAATGACCCCCCGCGGCGACTGAACCCGAACCTGACCGCATTGGCCCCGAGGCCACGGTTCAAACAGTTACCCCCCGCAACACATAGTATTTTAATAATATTATCAAAAAATAATGTTATATTATATTTTTTAGTTCTCATTATTCATCGATTATTATTATTGATAAGATATATTTTGGGTCCAAGACATGTCACAACCGATGTCACATTTCAGGTCAGAATCCGTACCTAGGCGTTGCTCGGTACGTCTCATCCCAGGAATCTCGGGATGGCGCCGCCCCCAAGACACGACAAGTCAGAATCCGTTCTAAGGTACTGTTTGGCACGTCCACCACGCCAACCCGTGTACGACCGACTCTCAGACAGTAGTATAAAGATCTTTGGTCGGCGTCCGGCCCAGGAGGAGGAAAACAATACCGCCCACAACTAACTTGCTCGTCGGAGGGGCCAAAGTCAGGAATCACCCGACGAAGGCTTTTTTTACAAAGAAAGGATCACCCCCGAGCCACGAGCGCCTCGACCCGAAAATCGCCATCCAGCGAACGAGGGCGAGCTGTCACCTATCTCGGGAACAGAGAGACGCAAACGACGCTTGAACCAAGAAACGCTGACCAACACCCCGTCGCGAAGGCCCGACCTACCTCGGCGTCCAGCTCAACCGACAGAGAACTCCCGATATCGACCCATGGACCTAGCCGTGCTGACTCACCAGTCACGACACGTCTGTTCACCAACAATATGTCAAAATTTTAAATTTTAAATTGATTTGATTGAAATTACAAGTCCATTTGTATCATTTATAATATTTTTATTATGATGATTGAGAAACGGTAATAGAATATCATTGGATTGGTGATAAATATTTTGGATATTATTTGGCACATAAGAAAAAAAAAGGAACACCTTTGGGAAGAAAAAATAAATAAATAAAAGGAGATTTTTTTAGGAAATCGCCCTAAAAACTTTAATCAAAATATACTATAATTATTGGGCATTATTTGCTACTCTCTGCGCTTGAACTACAATTGAATGGTGCATCAGCCAATGCCGACCGTCCTTTCTGCAACGTGTCCGCATCGAACGATGCAATGCCTGTCCCCCGTACGCGTCACTCTTTAATAGTCGCACTTAATGCGCTCGACCTCACCACACCCAACTCCCATCCTCCCAACTAAATGCCCGTCCGGCCCCACCACCCCCCTGCGCAGGCCGTCCCCCTTCCGCTCCTCTTTAAAGCTCTTCCCTGTTTTGTTCTCTTCATTCCTCGTGCATAGCCACACCTCCCACTTGCCCGCTCCCTTAGGTCAGAGTTGGTGTCGAGGATGACGGCCGGCGGGCGGAGGGTGACGGTGTGCGCAAAGACGACGGTGGTGTCGATGACACCGGTACGGCAGGGGAAGACGTACCCGCTGTCGGCGCTGGACCACGCGATGGGGCGGCACACGCTGCGCCTGGTCTTCTACTACCGCCCCGGGCCCACCATGGACAAGTTCAAGCTCAAGGAGTCGCTCTCGGAGGTGCTGTCGCAGTATCCGGCCGTGACGGGGCGGCTCGCGCGGGAGGAGGAGGAGGGCGGCGGCCACGGCGGCTGGGTGGTCAAGTGCAACGACGCCGGGGTGCGGCTGGCGGAGGCTCGGGCGAGTGTCACCCTCGACGAGTGGCTCCGGTCGGCCGACGACGAGGAGGAGATGGAGTTGGCGTACTGGGAGCCCATGGACGCCGATCCCTTCATTTGGTCCCCTTTCTACGTGCAGGTGCACCACCACTCTCTCTCTCTCTCTCTCTCTCTCTCTCTCATAGTTATTATATGCCCACACAAACCCTAATGTAGCAGATACATATAGTCAGAAATATATGCTAAATATACTTTCTGTGGTGTACATATATACATACATGTGATCTGATGACGATGGCCTAATTTGTAGATCACGGAGTTCGAGGACAAGGCGATCGCCATCGGATTGAGCTGCCCCCACATGCATGCCGACCCCACGTGCGCCATCCTCCTCGTCCGCGCGTGGTCCGACGCCCACCGCCGGGCCTGCGTCGTCTACCCGCCCTTCCTCCACGCCCCGGCCTTCTTTCCCCGCCCCCAACCCAATCCCTCCTCTCCCCTCCTCTCCTTCAAGTCCTCCTCCACACCCGCCACTCACACGAAGGGGAGGATGTCCTCCGCTACCTTCGTCTTCTCCGACGCCGCCGTCAAGTCCTGCCTCGCCGATGCCGGCCTTCCGCTCGACTCCTCCCCGTTTGACGCCCTCGCCGCCCTCTTCTGGACCCGCATAGCCCGCGCCTCCACCCCGGAGCCGGACGCCCCTCTCGGCCTCGCCGACCTCACCCTCTGCATCGACTTCCGCAAGCACATGCACGCGCCCCTCCCCCACGGGTTTTACGGCAACGCCTTCCACTTCTACCGCACCCGCGCCGATCTCGGCTCCGGACTCGAGCACGTGGCCGCGGAGCTGCGTCGCCACGCGGCGGCGATCCGTGAGGAGGATTTCTGGGAGGCGGTGGAGTGGGTTCACGAGCGGCGGCCGGGCCGCCGAGAGGCGGATCCGCCGTTCCAAATGTACGGACCGGAGCTGACGTGCATGCAGATGGACCACCAGCCGTTCGCGTACGGGGCGGCGTTCGAGAAGGACGGTGGCCGGCCGGCGCACGTGACGTGCAGGGTGCGCGGCGTGGAGGGGGCGGGGCTGGTGCTGGTGATGACGGCGGCGGAGGAGGGGGCGGCGAGGCAGGTGGTGGTGACGCTGCCGGAGGAGGTGGCAGACAGGATCTGTCAGGACGACGCCATCATGAAGTACGTGCCCGTTGTAATGTTCGCCGCCTCCGCCATCTCACGAAGCTAAATGCTGCAGCAGCAGCGCAATGTCATGGCGGCGAGATCGTCTGCGTCGTTGCGGGGACGCACAAATCGTGTTCTTCGTTGTGAACTGCATCGATTTAGAATAAATTGAAGTGCTTTATTCACATTGTGGATTATTATTATCACCGTTGGTTTGGGATTATTCTTAAAGCCTTCGTGTAGATTTTGGTATTCGTATGCATAGAGTGAAGTGGTCTGCTTGCATTAAGCTTAGTTATACATAGCCCGACTTGAGTCTCAACTTATTGAACGGTATGTGCTGCAAAAAAGTTAATGTTATTAGGAAAGAATTCAGTTCATGCTCTAATGGAAACTCAAGACTAGCATACTTGCACTGATGACATGGAAGTCAATTTTGTTGTTTTTATTACATGTTTTTCATGTTCAATTGATTTTGTTTTATGGGCTTCGGAATTAAATTTAGTGGGCTATTCATGTGGCCCACTTATTATTATTTGGGATCGATTACATGAATTTTTTTTTATTTTTATTAAATTATATATAAAGTAATTTCTTCCATAACATAGTGATAATATGTTTGTTTGGAAGGTGCTTACTAATTTAACTAGTAAAAACTTGGATAGATTATTGATATGATCTGGTTGGGTCCTAACCTCACCTAGTCGTCTCTGTCTTATAAAGAAGAAGAGTGGCAAAGGTTGAAATCTTTGGGCTTCCTAACAACCCGCCTCCCCCTTTACTGACCCGATCGGTTAGGGATGAGCGCAAAAGGGATAACTTACTTAGGAAGCAGCCTCTAAGGTTAGGGTTTAAAGTCCTATATAAACATGTAGCCTTTATATCTTTGAGAACAAGATTCATCTACAATTGCAACTATATGGTCCACTTCTAGAAGAGTGAAACCCTTGTTAACGGTCCAAGTATTGATCCCCCTTAAAACATCAACCTACATAGAATTTCTTTATGATTATATCAATTATTATAGATTTAAATTTCATCTTCGTCATTTATCATTTGTAAAAAAAATAAAATAATATTATCTTAAACACAGAGTACTGATCCTATGTTGTGTGTTTGTGTTTGAGAGTACTATTCACACACTTGTGTTTGCAACCACTAAGAATGCCATGAAAAAAGAGAATTGATGAGCAAATCACATTTAAGTTATGATCAAAGGAAGCAAAAGGACAAAGGAGAAGCAAAACAACAAAACCAAATCCTGACTCTGAAGAGAGAGTTGTAATTTGCCAAACAATGCCCACTACAATGATATATTTGAGTCTGGAGGGACTGAGGACAATCAATTGAGCAATAATGCTTGGTGTGGGCTACAGGAAAGGCAGTAAAGGGAAGTCTGAGCCAGCTTTTGAGACCCATTCCCAAGCTTTTTAAGCCTGTTCTTCCCAGTGTGTCAAAGAAAACAAACTGTATGCTTTCATTATTTAGGTATTTGGGTACTCTGTGATAAGACATAAATAATAATCTACTAGGATGCACAGTGCCCCCATTGACCCAAAGAAAAAGAAAGAAAAGCAAAACACTGAATCAAAGAGAAGGATTCCATGTGCCTTGTGGGGGCAAAATTGCTCTGTTGCCTTGGCTTTCTGGGTCTCTGCCTCTAATTTGCCTACTGTTTTCTCGTCAGTCTTCAACAGCAATTGTAGCTCCACCCTCGGATTAGAAAAAGAAGACTGAACGCTTGAAAGCTCAGTTCCTAAATTTGCTCTGTTGTGTCTCTTTTCTGACATGAGAGTGAGAGAGACAGAGAGAGTGGAATTATGAGAAACTGTTCATTCCACAGCTTGATTTCGAAGTACTTGTGATTTTTTATCTTATTTTTTGTCCAATATGTGATCGAGGAGCACCGAATCAGATGTGTGCTCATTTGGACTGCAGAGCTGCAGGTAACTCAGAACCTCTCTTCATGAGGCTACTCATATTTCAAACCCTGCAGTGGTGCCTTTTCTCTGGTACTGTGACCTACGGCCACCTGTGCCCACTCTACGAAGAATTCTAATAAAGCATGGGTGGGTTTTATTCTCTCCGGCTCTCTTCATATTCTGCCTCTCTTTTTCTTCTTCTCCTATGGAAGCTTTGGGTCTTGAGATAAGAGGATAATGGAGACCAGATGCCACTATCTGGTCCCTCTTCATTTCGGCTGCCGGTGAAAGAAAACAAAACAACAACATCTTTTCCATGTTGTTCTCAGTAGCAACAATGTCCAATTCCACCTCCATCTCTGATGAAGCCAGTGTTTCCTCTGAGACAAGAGCTCATGGCCACTTCAGCTTGAGCTCTATGCTCACATCCGTATCTCCCCACCACCACCGACCGCAGCCGCCACCGAAGGCCAAAAAGAAGAGAAGCCAACCGGGGAATCCAGGTAAGACGCAGAAATCTCTTGTTGCTCCTTCCACCACCCGAGCTGTGTTCTTTTTCCTCAACTTCTTCTTTGTTTTGTCGCTAAAGACCCAGAAGCTGAAGTTGTAGCCTTGTCACCGACGACACTAATGGCCACCAACAGGTTCATCTGTGAGATATGCAACAAGGGTTTCAAGAGGGAACAGAACCTGCAGCTCCACAGGAGGGGCCACAACCTGCCATGGAAGCTGAGGCAGAGAGGCAGCGAGGAAGTAGCAAGGAAGAGGGTGTACGTGTGCCCGGAGCCATCTTGTGTGCACCACCATCCTTCCAGGGCTCTTGGAGACCTGACGGGGATCAAGAAGCACTTCTCCCGAAAGCATGGAGAGAAGAAGTGGAAGTGTGACAAGTGCTCTAAAAGATATGCCGTGAACTCGGACTGGAAAGCCCATGTGAAAACCTGTGGAGCAAGAGAGTATAGATGTGATTGTGGCACCCTCTTCTCCAGGTTTGTCATCCTTCACTTCTGATGCCCCTTCTTCCTTGCTCATCTCTCTCTCTCTCTCTCTCTCTCTCTCTTATCCAGCCTTTTGTGGTGCAACCTCAAATGACAGGAAAGGTTAAAGAATGGTGTAGGTTTTCTTGCCCGTTTCTTCGCCTAGTAGTGTAAGATCAAAAGGCTAAACAAAGTCCTAATAACTCTACATCAGATAGAGCTCTTACTGTGTGGAAACCCACTCCTCCATATTCCACTGCTACTATAACTATACTTGTTCTTAGTATAACAAGGGTGATAAATACTTTGGGGTTTTGGGGGTCTTCTATACTTGTTTTCCTTTCACTTTTGGTCAGAGATTGTACAGGAAAACAAGGATGTCCTGATCAATCTACAATATCTGACAGACACATAGCTACATCCAACAAACATCATCAATCTCACCTTACTAGCATGTCTGTATCAATGCCTACTATCAAAGGAAATATGGGAATTCATAAAACAAAAGAACAAGCAATTTTTAGATTAGTACTCTTGTGAATATTTTCTTCTTTATCTTCTGTTTTTTATGTGATGATGATATTCTTGGAAAAGGTGAGTTTTTTTATTATTATTATTTTTCTCTATTTTTGGTATTGAAAATTATTAGAAACTGTAGCTCTATAGGTCCTTCTATCCATTTAGAATAGCAGCTAAATGGTTATTGTCCCATTTCTTGCGTGACTGCAGGAAGGATACCTTCATCACCCACAGGGCCTTCTGTGATGCGTTGGCAGAAGAAAGCGCAAGACTCATGGCTGCCACCGCCACCACATTCCCTCCACTCCACCAACCTCTCTTCCACCCTTCCTCCTCCTGGAACCCACTCATCTGTCCTAACCCTGACTTGACCCTAAACCCTAGCTCTGACGGTGACCTGGGAGCTTTGCAAGTCAAGCCTGAGGATAAGCTCTCTTCCCTCCACCACATCCACCTTCGCGCCATCACCTCACCTCACCTCTCAGCCACCGCACTCCTCCAAAGGGCCTCGATCATGGGCCCTATGAGCTTCACCAACACCGCCAGCAGCGTAGGTTACGATGGCGCAATGTCCGGCGGAGTCGTCAGCTCGGGAGTCGATGTCCAAGACCTGCCAATGTGGTAGAAGAGCAATCGCCCGACCGACCGCCGACACCGGGGATGATTGCCTAAGGTTAATGCATGTGCTCCCATAGGTGCCATAGAACTCTATCATGCTTAATTCCTCGTACTGATCGAGACAAGGAAGCTAAGGTTAATGCATGCTCGACTTGACTGTGTGATCAGATGAAAGACACTTTTCTGAGGTCATTCAGTCCGCAAGTAGAAGATGTTTCTGAAAGCTATCAAGTAGTAATCCTAATAAGTTCTTCTGCTGTCTGAAACATTGTTCTCCATGAACTCATCTTCTTAGCCTTTAATTTCTAGCAAATAAAACTTGAGGAGCAAAAAGCAGGAAGAACGATATAATTACAAACAACAAAGTAATCCTAAAACATGGTCAACATGGGGGCACGAAGCTAAGTGCTGCTGCCTCCAAATCAAGGCTAGCTTTCTAAGCTTTAGTCAGTGGGTTAAGGTGGCAGTGACCACCAGATTTGTCCCATCAGTAGGTTGATGGCAATTGCAACAGAGAAAGGATGACAGAGTACAAGAAGGAAAAGAGAACAATAATGTCAGCGAATGAGGTAAAAGATGTACTCACGGATTCTCACCTTAGCCAACTGCATCCTCCGGTCCTTTTGATCGCCCTTCTTTCTTGATTTCCGGGCTTTTCTTGGGATTGGAGGAGACCAACACAGCTTTTTGATGAAAGAACGCGCCCCCTACATGATTATGATTCATGTACATGATCATAAACAGGGATGACTGCTTGTGCACTCATTACACATTAGAAACGAAGAAGACGTGAAAGTCAAGTGCATGGTTTATGCTAACAGCTAAAACTTGAACAGAGAAGAGAGACACCATTGCACATCACAAGCATGGCATCTTTCTTCCCTGTGATTAGGAGTGGGAGCTACATAAGCCAAAAGCAGCACTCAGAGCAGCCACTTCACAATGTTAGTGAGCTGTCATGAAGAAGCTCTTGACAAGACCTGGCCTTCAATCCTGGCCACGGTTCCAGGATCCAAAAGAACATCCTAATGTGACATCCTCTGATTAGTTTCGTCTATAAATCTACCCCGAAAGTAGGGCAGGACATGGTGGTTGATTTGAGGTGAATCTGACTCATTTACTTTTACTGAAGGACGACTGAAAAATTGGAGAAGAAGAAGGAGGTTTGGTTTTCTAACCTGCATGAGAAATCTCTGACCAGCTTTCAAAAAGTTTCATGGGGAAGTGTGTACATGCATTTGAGTTGCAGGGTTAAGAAAACAATCCATGTCATTTTGCTTCCTGACAAAGACTCTTCTGCTCACCATTTTCTTTGCTTTCTTTACCCCTTTTCTTTTCTCTCTCTCTCTCTCTCTCTCTCAGAGTCTTGGGCTTCGAACTCTGGAATCTCTCCACCTTCCATGCCCTAATTATTAGCTGCTTTGGTGTTCTCCTCATACTTTGGATCAGCCCCATCTCCAGGCTCATTTAGGTCTCTCTCTCTCTCTTCTCCTCCTTTTCCATCAAAAGCTGGTGCTAGGCCGATGAATGACCCACAAGTACTTCCGGTTGACAAGGTAGTGTTATCAAAGAACTGAATAATTCCAACACACAAGTCCCGAGGAAGAACAAGAAAGCCAAAGAGGCATTATTCTCCATTTCCAATGTTCTTTGTGAACCTAAACCTAACAATTAAATTAGGCAATTCCTACTTGGAAAGCAAGTGGAAAAGAGGGAATTATTTGTGTTTTGCATCTTTAGGTCGTCGCTGATATATTAGCACGATTTGGTGTGTCCCAATTTACAAGTTTATCAGCAAGAACTCTGAGCTAGGGCATAGGGGCTTGGAGTCGAATTGAAGGCCCATGACCTAAGTTCTCGCCGATGGAGGTTGAAGGTGATTTATCTCGTCGTTCGTCATGTGTTTGCACACAACTCAAAGTCGGGGGATTATTAAAGTTGCTACGTGCGATCATACGTAGCAACTTTAATAATCCTCGATCATTATCGTACGTGGGTGTTTAATGCTCACTGACGTCGCAGGCAATCAGCCCGTGCGTTGGGTGCAGGCATCGTCTGATCTACTCGATTTAGTCCGTTCGATGTTGCTGTCCTCCTCTTGTGTGATTCGATACATAAACATGTCGCCTCATGCAACCTCGAGCAGAGTGGGTGCAAGGGGATGGCGTTAGGCGACTGGCTGGCCTTGGGCTTATGGTGCTGAGTTGGCTAAGTGCGATATGTCAGCTTAGGGACACCACATCGAGTTTGCTGTGACAGCTATGTGTCACGTGCACGTGGGCTCATGGTGATGAGTTGGCTAATTTGCATGGCAATCTAAAATCATTCAAAGACTTACCAACCTCTCAGTAGTGATTAAGAGACTGTACACTAATGGCAGCGGTCCAATTCATAATGGCTTCCACATTCTCCCGTGAAGGGCGAGGATGAAAAGGATAGCGTGGGTGCCAACAGAAGAATTCAGCAGCAAAGTCCCACCGCTGGAACTGCAGAATGCGAGTCACGTACTTTGCCGGAAGAAAGACGCATGCAATTTATTTTTCACCGCACTCCACCAGAAAGAAAGGAGATCGAAGGAGAACACATAAATCCATCGCTGCTCCGCCCTCAGATCGGACGGTCGATCGCGCACCGATCCTTCCATCCCGTGTTCGATCGGCAACCTCCGAAGCGCACCTTCATCCCAAGGATCTTCTCACCGCTACCATCACCACCGATATCTTCTCCGCGTCGCCTCATGGTCTACAAAAGAGGAGTCGGGGAGGGGGCAGATCGAAACGAGCGTTTCCTGTTCGATAAAATGCCAATCGAGCGTTTCATGCTCAAAACAGGTACATGCGGAAGCCCAAGGCAATCAAACGACGGACATCATAGACTGGTACGCCGCTAAGCGTTTCCGCAAACATATGATATGCTTGCCAACAGCCCGACAACGGGGACGCTCAAATGAAGTCAAAATTGGATCGGACCAGAGTCAAGCACGAGCCCGAACTCGAATTCTCGGCAAATAAAATGTTTTACTTGCGTTTGGTTCAACGCAGTTGCTAACGTGGAGCTGCCCGTCAAGCTTTGGTTTGTTGGTTTTATTCTGATGGTTGTTTGTTATATTAGATGTTGATCGTTAGTTTTGTTGGTATGGTTGTTTGTTATGTTAGATTTTGATTGTTAGATATGTTGAGAGTTTCGATGAGATACTTTAACAATATGGTTGAAATATGCATTGGTGATTTAATACATATTTCAAATATGAATTGATGCTTGATTTTTTTCATGTATATATATATATATATATACATTCTAAATGCTCAAATATCAATGCTACCTTAAGTAGCATTAGCATCTCAGCATTTATGGAATGTTAAAATAATTTTTTAATTTATAAAATTATAATATTATCAATGAAAAATAATATGATTTATCTTATAAGATGAATGTTTATTTACATTTAAATATTGTATTATATTATATATATATATATATATAATTATATATTTGCACTGTATGAATTTCTTATAAGATTATATAAATTTATTTATTTATTTTATTTATTGAATTCATAAAAAAATTAATTTTTAATAACTATTAAATATAAAAAGAATAAATTTGTAATATAATATTCATTGGAATTTTGAGATATATTTTTAATAAATAATCAATACACATTTAAAATATAAAGTTTTTATCTATTATTTATCAAATACTCAAAACATTCCATAACTACGTATTCACTAAAATATCTTTGTCTAAATATATATTAAAAATATAAATATATTTCCAAACATAACCTTAATGAGATGTTATGCAAAATCATGTTGAGATGTACAAGACAAACATGCCTAAACTAATTATGAGGTTCAACAAAAGAAAATATTATATACTTAAATTGTTTATGAGAGTCAGAATACACATAAGAGGCTAAGACCCTTTTGTTCGGATCTTATGTTGAAGAAGAATAGTAGTTACTCTTTTCGATGACGATTATGTTGAATCGTTGGTCATTACTCGGTCATAAAGATATTTATCGAATTGTTCAACATCATGATTGTTACACATGAGACTTGTGTGATCAAGAATGATATCGAGTCGATACTAATTTGAATATAATCCTCGATGATTAAGTCATACGACTTAATTATCTATTTATAAAAAAAAATTATTATTATTCAATACTGATAGGGGATATTTTTGGTAATTTACCCTCTAACTATTTTACACAGCCACGACAGCATCAAGGTCAGGATAATGAACTGTGCCACTTGAGTACAGCATCGTTTCTGTGAAAAGTCGAGATGGCATCGACCAAGTACCATGTCGTTCCGCGAAGGTCGGGATGGCATCGACTAAGTACAATGTCGTTTCGCGAAGATCGGAACGATGTCGACCGAGTATCATGCTATCTTGTAAAAGTTAGGACGACACTGAGTGCGACATTGCCGTCTGATGCCATGGCATGAAGAACATCCCACATAGGCTCCAGGAGTAAGTGAATCGCCAGATAGGTTGACAATCATGAATATGATAGGTACGATTGGTCCCCTAACAAAAGGATAAAAATCCGTCACAGGGCTGGCAACCAGGGATCAGTTCTAAGCTCATTTTCCATCTAGTGCTAACAAAATCTTCAGAGGGGTCGAAGTCAGGAACCCTCTTTTCAACCCCAACCTGAGTGCAAGGACTGGTGATAGAGTGGGAGGCGACCAGCCAAGGGGAGTTCCCGGACTTTGAAGCTAAAGTTCGAGCCCGACCCCAATGGACGACGATCCCTACTGCCTGAGAACCAATGTGGATGATCTTATGCACCTGAGACTGAACCAAACCATACATACTCCCTTTATCACGGCGTAAAATAACACTATCAAATACAATAAAGTATATTCAAGAAGTGATGGGAACTCGAGATCTCCTTCCCATGAATCGCTGCGCATCCTCCGCACAATTTGTCTGGTTTTAGCATTATAGAACGACTTTGTGGCCATCGCCACTTTATCTCAAAGTCTTGACTGTTGGGGCTAAAACACTTCTAATCTTTGACTAATAACATCACAACAACCATATAATATATAAATATCATGTAATCTTCTTGAGGCAGTTTTTGCTTTTGATCCTAATAAATGAGAAATAGGGAGTGATTTAAGTATGCAAGGGAAAATGTCGAAGCTTGGCAATGACCAATCTCCATTAATATCACTCGCCTCAAATGCTCTTTGGCTGTTTATGAAATTATATGCACACACCACATAGACTTGCGAGAAGTATGTGATGATTG